GGCATTCACAAATGAAATTAAGGGTAGAATACAGGTGATAAAACTGTACTTACACCATATTATCTGCTTAGAATGACACGAGCAACTGCCAATGAACATGATTAATATAATATCTAAGATGGATATCTACACAAACACAAGAATTCCGATTCTCAAATTATAGTACTTTATGCACTGTTAAATATCAAATAGCAACCTTAAGCATTAGGAATTACTTTGCAAGAAAAACTTCAATGGCTTATGTATAAAATCATAACAGGCTATTTTGTACTCAAATGCATTAGATATTTTAAATAAATGCAGAGAATATACCCAGTACATGCTTTTAGGCCAGGAACAATAACAGCTTCATGTAACTTCTCTATTTTAGAGTTGCATTGGCATACTTTATAGACATGGTAATACCCACTACATTAAAGATGGGGTGAATTTCAATGTCCAAGTTAGTTCATTAGGTATGTAAAACATACAACAATTTAAGTAACAGCAAAGCAAAACCACCAAAGCAAAAATGAGTAATCAACATCAATACCTTATAAAGTTTGCCATGTTTAAAATGGAAATATACTGGACAAACTGTACAATACCATTTGCATATTAATTCATGCTCAAGTAGCTGATGATAGTACTCCATATGCACAGAAACTAACTTTTCTTCATGATTTATGCAAGTATAAATTGCAGAGCCTCCATAGCTAAATGCTGACTTACCCGCTTTGCACAAAAATATATGCATACAAATGCCCATTACATTCTTGCCGTTTTTTTTCCTTAGAAAATGATCTCGTACCACGTACAACAATGTGTATATTTAAGAGGCATTCAAAAACTAAAACCAGTTTTGTACATACCCTTATTAATCAAGTCTTCCTTAAAACTAACCTATCATAACCCTCTACCCAAGCTTCAATAACCTAAATACTTGTCTAACAGTAATACAGTCTTCTGTTTTGTTAAGATTTTATATACAGGTATAGTTTAGCAATACAGTACATATTTTATTATATATATATATATATATATATATATATATATATATATATATATATATATATATATATATATATATATATATATATATATATATATATATATATATATATATATATATATATATATATATATATATATATATATATATATATATATATATATATATATATATATATATATATATATATATATATATATATATATATATATATATATATATATATATATATATATATATATATATATATATATATATATATATATATATATATATATATATATATATATATATATATATATATATATATATATATATATATATATATATATATATATATATATATATATATATATATATATATATATATATATATATATATATATATATATATATATATATATATATATATATATATATATATATATATATATATATATGTCGTACCTAGTAGCCAGAACGCACTTCTCAGCCTACTATGCAAGGCCCGATTTGCCTAATAAGCCAAGTTTTCCTGAATTAACATATTTTCTTTAATTTTTTTCTTATGAAATGATAAAGCTACCCATTTCATTATGTATGAGGTCAATTGTTTTTTATTGGAGTTAAAATTAACGTAGATATATGACCGAACCTAACCAACCCTACCTAACCTAACCTAACCTATCTTTACAGGTTAGGTTAGGTTAGGTAGCCGAAAAAGTTAGGTTAGGTTAGGTTAGGTAGGTTAGGTAGTCGAAAAACAATTAATTCATGAAAACTTGGCTTATTAGGCAAATTGGGCCTTGCATAGTAGGCTGAGAAGTGCGTTCTGGCTACTAGGTACGACATATATATATATATATATATATATATATTTATATATATTTATATATATATATATATCTATATATATATATATTAAATTTGAAAAATGTATTCTCTGCTTTGTGTAAAGATTCTATGCATAGATTAGCATCAACATAACATTACATGAATCAAAATGTTCTCTGGCTTAATAAATTGTTCTATACAAAATTTAGACCCATAGTATGTTTGTTAATATACAGTGCTTTAGTGCCAAAGTTTCAATAGAAGAGGTGGAACAAAGACAACTGAAAATATACCGCAGATAGTACCTACACATCCCACAGACTATTGGGGCCAATCTTTTCAAAATGCAGGAATAAATCATTTTTTCTCTCTAAAACTAAAATACCAATGCCAGAGCTTCTTGACTACCACTGATGCATTTTTAACCAAAATAACCAAATGTGAAGTGCAAATTGTTCTTTCAATATGCCCTAAACTTTCAGTAAAAAAAAAAGTATTACTAATAACTAAACACAAAATCCAAAGAAATTTAAACTTCACAAAATCTTTTGAAGGACCAGTAAACTTTTCTAATTAGAAATTTCTGCTCTTTCAACTTTCCAAGGCCAGTCAGTTCTTATCAACCAAGTTATTTCTTATATCCTAGATGTCAATATTCCCTGGCAAAATCCAGCCATTTAGGGCAGCAACAGCAAAACTGTCATGTTCCCCCTTGAAGACTACCACAATTTGAATATTTCTTTATTTTCCGCAAAACTTAAAAAAAGTCTTGGACCATGAAAGCACTGTTGCCTGAAGACTAGTTCTTTTTTGTTGTAAGCAGACCAAGGCTTACCTTTAGAGTCTTTTCTGTGTAAATTTTCCCCTCGTTGACATGACAAGCACTGGTCAAACATCTTTACTGAAATCCCAGTACAGGTACTTCAGACAAGTCTAAAGTAAAAGATCCTTGTACAATTCATATTTCAGAGATCTTGTCTGCTTTCAAAAATGCATCCAAACCTTGAGTCGGCTCCAGAGATTAGAAATGTATAATAAATCATAATTGATGTGGCACTCCACATTTTGTAAGTTCATAATCCAGCTAGTGTGCTTCCAGGCAAAGGTTTTACTTGTCTTATGCGTTCCGGTAATCTGGCGATATTACTTACAAACCATTACATGCTCCATCTGTCTTACCAAGACAGCTTTCTTTATATTCAGCATTTACCTGCTTGATGGGGTTCTGGGAGTTGTTCTACTCCCCAAGCCTGGCCCGAGGCCAGGCTTGACTTTAGAGCATTATGGTTATCTTGAGACGATTTCAGGGCTTAGCATCCCCGCGGCCCGGCCTTCGACCAGACCCCTTTTTTGTTACACCCCCCCACCCCAGGAAGCAGTCCATAGCAGCTGCCAAACTCCCAGGTACCTATTTACTGCTAGGTAACGGGCATCAGGGTGAAAAATATTTTGACCATTTGTCTCCGCCGCCACCAGGGATTGTACCCAGAACCTCAGGACTATGAATCCAAAGCACTGTCCACTCAGCTATCAGGCACCCTATAATAATCCACTAGGCTGTTGCTTGGAGCGGCCCGCAGGCACACACATCCACCACAGCCCAGTTGGTCCGGCACTCCCTGGAGAAAATTATCTAGTTCTCTCTCGAAGATGTCCACGGTTGTTCCAGCAATAATTCTTATACTCGCTGGGAGGATGTTGAGCAATCGTGGACCTCTGATAATTATACAGTGCTCTCTGTGCTTATGGCACCCCTGCTCTTCACTAGTTTTATTCTGCATTTTCTTCCATATCGTTCTCTCCAGTATGTTGTTATTTTTACTGTGTAGATTTGGGATCTGGCCCTCCAGTATTTTCCATGTGTATAGTACTTAGTACTTGATCTCTCCTTGTTTCAAGTTTCTATTTAACATTTTCGCAAGTATGCATCTTTGTCAGTGTGTGTATGTTATAGATCCTCCAGACCAACAACTTAATTCTCACGTTCCCATCATTAATTCACTACAAAGTAAGTGATTTACCAGCATTTCCATAAATTTCAGACAAGGACAATGAACTCAAGTGTCTTAATACACAGTTTTGGACAATACCGAGTTAACATTGATGTCTCGTCAAACAAATAATTTGATGGTTATTCTTTTAGCCATTATTTCATATGTCATCACTTATGCTTGTGATTGTCACTGCCTTCAGAAAGTTAGTGTACAATGTTAACACTCAAAACAATCTTATTGTAATAATCAAGTAGGTACATCAGACAAGATTTTTCCCACTTTGTTTTGTCAAGGGTTCCACAGTAAACTTTTCAAAATGAAGAGACAAGTAGGCTATCTGGAAATGTCAATAGGCCTTCTGACATGTTGATGCAGCTGGATCTAACTTTAACCTGCTATTTAAACTAACACTAAATTATCATTATAAAGTATTTTAGCGCAAGATTTGGGGAAAAAAAAAAAAAGTGCTACATTTCACTAAATTAGCTACACCAAGTTGCACCAGGATTTGTTGTCCAATACAGATTATTAAGTAGAATAATGACAAATTTTTCCCAAGGTTATGTGGAACATCGACAGTGTAAATTCTTTATCCAGAATATCAAACACGTCCTAGTGATGTCTTACGTTTTTAAAGTGCGGAGTGGACCAAATTCATGAAAATCTTTTATTTTCACGATATTCGTCCTAATAGTGTAGAACTAATTTCAATAATTTCTCTTGTACCTCCTCTTCTGAGCTGTCAAGTGATACTTTCAAAGTCCTTTATTTAGATTTTTGTGTTAGATAAGAAGGGTTTGTTGCTTGAGGAGTTAAGAGTTCCTTTTATACTACTTCCTTTTATACTAATGGTATGATAGTCCTTGACTTTTCTATTTCTAAAGTATTCAACCTAAGTTACTTATATTTGCCTAGCAAGTTAGGTCCACACCTTGTAGCAATTGATTTACCTCGTTTCATTTATAGGAATACTGATTCTACTCTATGGGCATTGCCAGTTCCCCATCACACTTATCTGTTTAATACATACATTAAACTTCCAGATTTATTGTATACATTTATCTAATAACCCATATAATGCTATTTCCTCCCATAATAGTTTTCAAATATGCCTTCCATAATTATTGAATTCAATGCTTCTGCAGTTAAATGACCAAAAACCATATAAATGCCACTTTGTCAGAACATAGTACACCACCTACCTTATAATTCTGCAATTGAGCAGCAGAAACGGCTGCTGCAGAAGCTTGAGTCGCATAAGGAGAAGAAAACTGATGTGGAACTCCAGGACCAGCAACAACTTGATGACTCAAGCTCTCCACGTAAGACGGTGGTGCGCCCGAGGCAATCATCGGTGCATAGCTCACATTTGGTGCTGTAGCGCCATACGGTGAAGCTGGTGGTGGCCCTGTTGGAATGAATATATATATATGGTAGTGTAGTTGCAAACTACTGTCATGTTAAATTGTGTATCATTTTCACTACAAACATTATTCCTATCCTTAAGCAGGTACACGAGTCATCTAGTCATTGTGACAAAAAAAAACAAAGAAGACCCTTAAGCAATATATGGTACTCAACAATATCAACTATTGAACAGTGGCACCTCCAAAATCTGGACCACCATTTCCAGACATGATCCAGATTTTCCCCCCAAACAAAAACTTCAATTTTTTGGAAAAGTCTAGATTTTCTGTGTAGCAAATGCACATAAATACTGTGATTGCAAATGTTTATGCAATTATTTTGAGAATATATAAATAATTATTAGGCAGAAAATTTGTAGCACAGGCCAATTTTGATGACAGAGGCAGTAAAATACAACCACAATATTGATATTGTTATTGTTATGACATCTAACTTCTGCCTGGCCTTTATATCAATGCCCATGGTCAACGGCATTCTGAATTTATACTGTAGTATAAATATTACAACAGTTAATTTACGAGTCTTTTCATCTCCTGGCCCAGTGCCGTCGCATTGGACACACCCACACTATAACGTATGATCATTTTCCCTCTGTGCTGGCCTTGTTTAATCAAGGATTTTAATGCATTTATATTTTGCATGTTATTACTAGCTTGGATACCTAGCGCTAATCGGGTGAAAAATGGAGGCCACATCTATATTACACACAACCATAATTATAAACCATCTTCACTACCCAGGCACTGTCAGACGCCCCAACTAGACAGTACAAGAATTTTTTTTAATATGCATTAAGTAGTATGCTACCGTAAGGTTTCTATATCAGGGCAACACGTTTAGGGTACACACATTAGGGGTTGAGGGAAGAAGGCATTAAGGATGATGGATGTAAGTTTGGGATAGGGAATTTAACATTGGGGAATTGGGAAATTGTGGTAGTATTGTTAATTCAAATTTTTCCTTAGTGAGAACACAGTCTAAGCAAGACTGCTGACCCCAGCCCACTCTTATGACCGACCCTTCTACACTCCCCATTCTCCCTGCCAGCAAAAAGTAGTCTAGTTAAATCAGATTGGAAGATAAAGTATTATAGCCGATAAAAAATTTGAACAGAAAAATGATTTTGGCTGGGTAATGAAGATTACAGCAGATTCTAATAAATATTAAGAAAAATTCTCTGGGTCAAACAACAGATGATTGCAACAGTAATGGAAGGGTAAAGTCTCATATCTCAGGACAGACACCAGTTAGCAGACATCAACACCAAAAAACTTAGTACACACCAGAGCACAAAATGATATACAAAATTCACACAAACTCTTCAAATACACTCCAAAAAACACATGAAAGGTATCTAACAGAAGCCTGTTAGAATAATACTAGTCATTTTTCAACAACTTCATAAATGGTTCTTATTTTATTCAAAATTTATGAAGTTATTTGACCATTTGTTCTTGCTTGTTTTCAGCCTGATGTACAGATGTAACACTATGATAGCACTGGGGGTAAACACCTAGAAGTTGCATTATGGATAATAAATGGTACTGGAGATGCACTGAAAATGGCAACTTCGAGGCTCTGGACACGAAAACTTAACTATATACCGTACAATATTGTGATATTTCTTAATATTTTGTTCATTGGATTACATTCATCTTATTGTAAGGTTCAGTATTATGATTTGTAATTCCCTTCTGATAAATTTGATTTGTGTTATTTCAGAGATCAAGTAGGGAACAAAGTTGAAAAAGCTGGAAAATCTGATTCAAGTACTGTATCATTCATCCCCATTTAATTCAATACTATACAATAACTAAGAATGAAAGTGCCATTGATGCATGCCAAGTATACGGTACCATGCTACTTATCATAATGAACTAAAAATCTCAACCCCTCAAATGGTTTAACCCCTCAAATGGTTCACATGTATCGTGATACAATACCAAGTGACTAAACACTACAATACCTAGTGGCTGCCCTCCGTCCAGATGCTAGTCTCTAGACACCCACAGAAATGTGCATCAGAGAACAAGGTACTGTACTGTATTTATAAACAAAAAATCATACAATATCCCTAACAAAAAACAAAAAAGCTCTTAATGTATATAATAATTATTAGAACCAATACATAAACAGTATTGAAAACTGAAAATGTATGGGCCTACTCATACCTATTAAATAATCACAAGATAACCCATTAACTATGAGCTACTTGCATTCAAAATGCAAAAAGTTATAAAACTGCATTCCTTACAGGTTTTCATATTACTCTAAAACAAGACTGCTTATACTGCAGAGGAAAAATCAATGGCTGTAATCAATACTGTATATAAAAAAGATTAGAACTAATAATATTTACCCAACTCCAGAAAATATCGAGACCAGATTTTAGGCAACTTTTCAGGCTTTTATCATAAAAATAAGATTTGGCTTTGCTAATCAAGGTTTCTTATTCTGTACAATACTGTAAACATATTTGGTTAAAATTGTCAATATTCATAGTTGGAACAAAAAATTAACCGTATACCACGAGTATTAAAAATATGTCGCATTCTCAAATTGGGCAGTCACAATAAACCATGCAGACCAAAACAAGCAGCCAAAACTCATCAGCAGTGGCATTTCAAGCAGGTAATGTATTTTATTAATACCTATTGAAAGTTCTTGGCAATAGAGCAAACACTAATGTTAATAGAATGCCATGTAGGAACAAACTTTATTATTGTACATGTTCTGTTCAAGTGTTACAAGTAATAATTTAAAGTAAAGTTCTTGTTCCTATGTGGTGTTTTACTTGAACTTTATAACCAGAGTAAAACGTTTCCAAAGTCTCAGTTGTATTGAGTTTACAGTCACATTACAAATTATTCAGTTTACAATTAAGCCATGGTACAGTGCTTTCAAATCCCAATGAAAACATAGGAGAACCAAGGAAATTTTATCAAACTGAAGTCAAGTTGCTTGACAAGTGTATGAAGCCCACTGTACAAAGAAAATCGAATATAGGCTGTGACTAGAGGACTTTATCCTGAGAGTATGGATAGCCTACTATGTAAAATTAATGTCTAGGTTTGCTCTAAATGTCACTTTTCTTAAATACAGCAGTGATGCTTTTATGAACCATTATAGATTTGTAAATTTTGTACCATTTAATGCATTTTTTCTTACCCAACAAAAAATATTTTTATAATAAGAATTGGCAAACTAAGCGCCGACGCACCTTTATTTTGATTCCGTTCGTAGACATCATAGACGATCGAAGCTGACTGACTCTCGTTGACTTCTAGGATAGGTCAGGTGGGGTTAGTAAGTTTGAACCAAATAATCATCTAACCTCCCAATTATTACCTAACTTAAAAATCCCCACCTAACCTATCTTAGAAATGATTTTTTATTATTATTATTATTATTATTATTATTATTATGCGCTGCCAGCTAACTAAATTCACAGACCACACATACGGTAGTGGTTCGGTGGTCACTTCAATTCCTAAAAACTATCAATCTTTATACAGCACTTTTCTTTAATTGCAACACTGACTTTCCAACTAATCTATACAACTTGACTATTGATTTATTGTTGATAATTTGTTCCGTATTTGTCAATAGTCACACTTTTACTGGATTGTCTAGTAGATCTGAAAACTGATTCATTATTGTTCGTATTAGTTGTGTATCATTAAAATTTTAAAAGCAAAAAATCCCTGCATTTTAATTTAAAATAACTGACAAAGAAAAGCTCATACATATCATGAAAATTAATTACCTGTTCTCTAACATATGCTATTACACATTTAAAGAGAAAATATTCCATGATATTTGGAGTAATGACAATACAAGTCTAAACTGCATGATCACACCTATTATAACCATATACATCTTTTAAATAACATTTGGACAAAATTTCTGACAATTCCATGTCAATAAGAGTGCCATAAACATGTAAACAAATTTATGCATGAATACTTTAAATTCATGTCAACCAAGTCAAGTTTCCAATAAACCAATGGGGGAAAAAGTACAGTATTTGTATCAAACCTAACATTAATTGATACAGTATACCTACAGTATAAGTGAACTGTACTTTCTCACTAGTGCAAGCTTTTTTTTTTGTTTTTTTTTTGTTTTTACACACACGCTAGTGTAGGCGCCACCCTAAACATTTTTAAGATGGATATTGCACTAAGGCCCCCAACCAAGTAAAGGCCTCCCCGTAACAGCCTGCCAAGCACAGCCCCCCCCATAACCAACCGAGCACAGCCCCCCCCCATAACCAGCAGCAGCAGGGTACAAGCCCCCCCCCCCACAGCAGCAGGGTACAAGGCCCCCCCCACAATAGCAGCAGGGTGCAAGCCCCCCCCACAACAGCAGCAGGGGTACAAGCCCCCCCAACAGCAGCAGCAGGGGTACAAGCCCCCCAACAGCAGCAGCAGAAGGATACAAGCCCCCCCACAACAGTAGCAGGGTACACGCCCCCACAACAGTAGCAGGGAACAAGCCCCCCCCACAACAGCAGCAGCCACAGGGTACAAGCCCTTTGAAAACAGCAGCAGGGTACAAGCCCCCCCCCACAACAGCAGCAGGGTACAAGCCCCCCCCACAACAGCAGCAGGGTACAAGCCCCCCCCCACAACAGCAGCAGGGTACAAGCCCCCCCCCCACAACAGCAGCAGGGTACAAGCCCCCCCCCCCATAACAGCAGCAGGGTACAAGCCCCCCCCCACAACAGCAGCATGGTACAAGCCCCCCCCCACAACAGCAGCAGGGTACAAGCCCCCCCCCCACAACAGCAGCAGGGTACAAGCCCCCCCCCACAACAGCAGCAGGGTACAAGCCCCCCCCCACAACAGCAGCAGGGTACAAGCCCCCCCCCACAACAGCAGCAGGGTACAAGCCCCCCCCCACAACAGCAGCAGGGTACAAGCCCCCCCCCCCACAACAGCAGCAGGGTACAAGCCCCCCTTCCACAACAGCAGCAGGGTACAAGCCCCCCACACAACAGCAGTAGCAGGGTACAACCCCCCCCCACACAGCAGTAGCAGGGTACAAGCCCCCCCCCCCCACACAGCAGTAGCAGGGTACAAGCCCCCCCCCCCACACAACAGCAGTAGCAGGGTACAAGCCCCCCCCCCACACAACAGCAGTAGCAGGGTACAAGCCCCCCCCCCCACACAACAGCAGTAGCAGGGTACAAGCCCCCCCCCCCACACAACAGCAGTAGCAGGGTACAAGCCCCCCCCCCTCACAACAGCAGTAGCAGGGTACAAGCCTCCCCCCCTCACAACAGCAGTAGCAGGGTACAAGCCCCCCCCCCCCCCCCACAATAGCAGCAGGGTACAAGCCCCCCCCCCCACAATAGCAGCAGGGTACAAGCCCCCCCCCCCCACAATAGCAGCAGGGTACAAGCCCCCCCCACAACAGCTGAGCTTAGGCACACAAGTATGCAACAATAGCCGAGCACTACTATATGCTAAAGGGCATCAAATATTCAAATTTGAAGGACATTTAAAATACTGTACTGTAATAAATGTATATTTTGGTAACTCTACATGCTTAGTTTAATGCCTTTTTGAAATTATGTACAGTACAAAAATTATGAAGACAAATTTCTGTATTGAAACTGCCAAAATCTTCACCTGAACTGTAATCGATTAAGATTTTGTATTTAATAAAAGCAAAGCAATATCAAATGATAATTTTCTACATTTATATATGAGCGTCTCAAACCCACTCTAGCAACCAATAACCAAATTCCCACAGTTCGTATATTTAACAAATTTCAACAAATTAAACCTTTTCAGAGAATGCAACATTGGCTTCAACATTAATAAATCTTTTCTTAAGTAGGCTCCAGTACCAGTTCTTTCACCTATGTCCCTGTTTGATGGGGTTCTGGGAGTAGTTCTACTCCCTAAGCCTGGCAAGAGTCCAGGCTTGACTTGTGAGAGTTTGGGCCAACAGGCTGTTGCTTTGAGCGGCCCACAGGCCCACTTATCCACCACAGCCAGATTGGTCTGACACTTAAATTATTACAAATTAAAAATTATTAAGAAAATTTAGTTTTCTCTTGAAGTTGTCCACAGTAGTCCCGGCAATATTTCTTATACTCGCTGGGAGTATTAGGCAATTTAATATCATGATTTCCCCAAAGCATAATCCTCCAAATCTTCACATTTCTTCATAATACTGCTGGGTTTATCGAGATGAACAGGGCAGGGAAGGAACCTGAAGTACAACCCATTATAGCTCAAGATCTGGAAATCTACGCCAATTTAATGAAAACTATCTTCAAAACTATCTTGAAAATTAAGGTGTTCATCCATTCCCCCCAAAAATGTGTAAGACTGGCAGACATAGCCCCATGTGACCAGGTTTGACAAATACCCATATAATACCACTACCCATTCCTTAAAAAAAACATTTTTATAACACCACACTTGTATTTTTGGAACAAACGAAGCACATTAACCACGTGTGCCAAATTTCAAGGTAAAAAGCTAAACAAATAAAAAATATTAATAATTAAAATTTGACCTCTCTAAACCTCCACCATAAAAAAAAAAATTAGCAATCATTTATATAGCCAAAATAACCGTAAGGATCAGTCCAATCCCCGCATATACGGCCTAAAAGAAAGCTCTTTGGGTAATTATGAGACAAAATGGACGAGCTTGTACACCGGCCATTGCCAGACCTCCGGAGCTCGTGGGGCCTCCCTCCCTCCTGAATACATAATGCTCCACCAATGCCGGGGGCGAGTGACATTTACCACCCTTTATTCCCACCTTTCACCCCTCCGGCGTCATCTGGCGCAGTTTGGGCGCCTCCAGGAGCCACTGTGGCCTCTCACGCCATCTTGAAAGCTCACGGTGAATTATCAAATCATCGGCGTACTGCTATAAGCAAGGCAAACAAAAACACTCGCAGCGTCTCGGCCTGTTATTTCCTTCATTACCGGACAAAGGCCGCCTCCATTCCTCTCTTAGGGCGTGGAAAACCTGCACCAAGCATACAGGAAGACTTCAAATCAACGAATTGGACGGGGCTTACCTCGTTTGTCCGACATTTTAAGTAAGAGATGGGGCAACAGCTTCGTATAGTGGTATCGTGGGAATGACTTGTTATCTGTGTCGCTATGGAGGCCACTGTGAGGGAGAACACCGCCACAGAAAACGGCTCCTCGCGCCCCCTTCCTCCCCCAACTACGCTACTTCTTCCCGACATAATCAATTAAATATATAAAATAAATGTTTATTCAGGTAAGGTACATACATACAAGAGATTTTATAAAAAATTGATAGATTTATAGATAGAGCTAGTACATACTATGCCTAAAGGCACTATTACGCAAAGCGTTTCGGGCAGGAAAAACATTAAACATTCATTATATCGGTGTAAAATTCTTGCACCAATGTCTTTATCACTCTTCTTGGATGCTAGTAATGCCTCTTGAGGTATTATATATATATATATATACAGCTTGTAAAATAGGATTAATTGTATGGCTACTCAAGGGTTATTTGTAACAAAACAGTAGAATTGTGTTCCTGCCTAAACGACCTGCTGTACAATTAAGGCAATTGCATGCAGTAACAGCCTATACAAACCAAAATTATCAATTATTCATAATATATATTGTTGTATATTAAGGATGGAAGGACTCTTCTACATCATTGCAAGGTCTGACTGAAGCTTATTTGGGTTTAATTTGTATCTATCTTATGATTCGGTTCAAAGTTGTTCTATCACAAAATATTAGAGGTGCTATTTCTTTTGTTCTCATACAGCAGTAGTTATGGTATTGCATTTGTCTAGCTTTAGGGAATACATAATTTGGTGGAGGCATTTGAACATATATGTAATAATTCTTGGGTTTATTCACACCCAAACACCTAATGGAACCTATTGGAAGGAGAATAGTTCTGCTGACAAACATTGTAAATGGAGTGATCTCCCCGTTGAAATACTTGTAGCGAAGCTCATCTGGTGTTACAAATGAGTCATTTTTATCCTGGCTAGTGAAACTCAACTGGCAAAAATTATTTTATTAATTAATAATATAAATTTAGCAACTGTGGTTGCTAGAGTACAATGTATACTTGTATCTATAGAGTACAATGTATACTTGTATATATAGAGTACAATGTATACTTGTATATATAGAGTACAATGTATATGTGCATATTTAAGATATAAATGCCTGTTAGAACACGTATATAAGAATGAAGTAAATAGTGAAAGCAAGTATGATCATAAAGTACATGTGTATATAAAGTATACATTAATTAAAATTACATTGTAGGAATACCCGAACATAAAGTATTTAAGTATATAAAGTACGTACATAAAGTGTGCACGGGTTAAAGTTTTTTCCTTGTAGTTTAGTTCATTTATTATGTACCCCATACCCATCCTGTGGGCGGTAGTGGAAAGGGTTACAGAGGCACTTAATGGGCTCAGGAATTGAACCCCAAAATTCATTTAGCTATGCAAGCTACAGTCTCGATAAGCTAGTTACAAAATGTAATGCATATTGTTAGATCATCAATGGGTTAAACCACCCATCAAATGGGTGTCCAGCGAGGCTTCCCTGGTAATATATGTGGCTCTTATTCTTACATAATAATATAATAAGACATTAAATAGCTGTGTGGATACGTCACAATGTTCTTAGCTCGTAGGAAAATAAGATCCATATAATGATAAGAATAAGAAAATGTCTAACCATGAACCTATGTCTCAGGTTCATGGTTATACATTGTAGAGGACAAGAAACCTGTGAGAATTATCTGACCCTCCCCCAGAGAAACTGTACTTGTGGTCGATCTCGAACCCATTGTTGATGTGACGACTTATACTGAATTTTGTAACTAGCTTATCAAGATTGTAACTTGCTTAGCTAAATGAATTGTGGGGTTCAGTCCCTGAGCCCATTATGTGCCTCTGTAACCCTTTCCACTACCACCCACAAGATGGGTATGGGGTGCATAACAAATGAACTAAACTAACTAACTCTCAATACACAGTAAAGAACTAATGTTTTTACTGTAAGTTCAGAGAAGTCTTGTTCCTTTATTTGTAGACTACATATAAGTCATGTTTATCATTAAGAGTATGCATGTTGGAAGATGTTATTTACGTATAATTGTAATGTCTAGACAGCGCTAGATATTAGCCTTTAGCGGTTACTGAAGACAGCTAATAAACACTTAACATAAAAGAGACTAACATTCTGTATTCTAGGAAGGCTTGCCATGTCTACCTGTGGAAAAAATGTAAAATGTTGGTTTTGAATTGTTAACTGACTCTGTAAACCAGAAGAATATATTTTATATATTAAAGATCTTCACATTATTTGGAGATTGGGGCAAATGATAATACCACTTTAACAAATTACAAAAAATATCTCGTTGTATACATCTATACAATGTATAACTTCCTTCGTAGAAGAATGCACAGGCATTGGTATATTGGTCGGTGTGAACACTGCTTATATCAGGAAAAGAACTGATCGAACAATGGGCATATATGAGAAGTTGGAAGTAACGACAGTGATGGTTAATCAGTCATACATCGAGTATTTTCCCAAGAAAAGATAAGAACATTGTGATGCATCTTCAATTTGTTAATCTGTGCACCGGGAAATCTAGAATTGAGGCTTTAGTAAATTGAAGTGAAAGAAGGTACTAAATACACCTTTTAATAGTAATAGAATAGTAAATTCTTGCACCTCTCAATGCTCAGTAAAGAACAAATGCTTTTACTGTAAGTTCTGACAAATCTTGTTCCTATATTTGTAGAGTATATATAGGTCATGTTTATCATTAAGATTATGCATGTTGGAAGATGTTATTTACGTATCTTTACTGATAAAGGCTGGCTAAGTATTATGAGGTGATTTTAATCAGTGTTTGGGCTATATAGACGTGCTGTATATCAGGAGGCTGTAATATTCCCTATTATATTCCTCTCTACCCATTGTGTGAGTGAGTATTAATTGGTACTGAGGTCAGAGACAGAGCAAAAGCGATGTTTAGGCTACTTGAGGGAATAATTACATGGAGGAATGTTGAAGAAGAAAACAATAGGAGTTGTGAAAACTAGTGGAGTCTGCAAAGGAGATAATTAAGTTTTTAGGTGCTGATACACGAGGGAGTTGAAATACTTTGTAGGAAGTAGTGTGCCCAGGCATGCGTTCTTGTCTTTGTATAAGGAAAAGTGCAAATTTTCCGACCCTCATCAATTGGAAAATAATTGTGAAGTGCAGAATACATCTTTAGGAAAATTATAGTATATATGCCTCTTATAGGATTGGAGCTGTTAGCTCATTGATTTAGCCTTTCTAACTGTTGACCTTCTACATATGTTTCTCTCTTGCACACGCGTATCCCCACGGCGCAGACCGCAACAGTTGACTAACTTCTAGGTACTGTACCTATTTCCTGATAGGTGAATAGAGGCATTAGGTGACAGAAGCTGCCCATTTGTTCCTGTATCGGTTGGGAATCGAATTCAGGTCCGTGGACTGCGAATTCTTATGCTGTCCGCTAGGCCATGAGGTCCCCCAATTTTACTCTCTCGCTGTTTTGTGTGTGTGAATCATTAAGAAATTATCATGAAGGAAAATGAAACGTGAAATACTACCATGAGCGTTTCCTGTGGTATTTCAATAATATTTTATTTACTAATACAAAACAGAGGATATGATAGGTGTCTCAAAGCAGGTATTTATATACTATATATTTGTATACTGCCTATATAGTATGTCAATGCATGACCTTTGTAAATACTAAACAAAGCAAGTATTTCAAGCAGAAAACAGTAAATAGATAATTCGAGAAGGAGCGACTGGCAACATGAAGGTCAGGTAAGCGATGGACAAACAGAAAGTTAAGACATATTTAGACGAGCGACCTAATTTTGTACTAATATATATATATATATAGGGAGTATTGCTAAACCTATTGCATTACATTGCTACACACACTTCCCGGCTTGGCGCCTTCTTTTGATGATTACAGTACAATGCTTTTTATTCCATAATGCCCCCTTAAGCACGACCACTGCCATATTATGTAATTTATTTTATCTAATGTGTTCATCTACATATAATGCTTCAATATGTTAATATGTTTACATTGATTTCTAAGTATGCTTCCTTATAATTGAGCACCAGCATAATAGGATCCTGTATACGCTATCGTCCCGCACAAGAGTATAACTGCTGACCTTATTGAATGACCTTAATCCATACAGGATGTGGGGTTGGTTTGGTATTGGGCTTAAGGCCTATCAACCGCGGGAGGGTTATTAAGGCCACCACACTAGCTTACTGACCAACCAGTAACTATACACTTTAGCCCTGAACATAGTCCAAGGTCTAAACTCTCAAGTCAGTACGTGTAGACAGTATATACACCAAAAAAGCGGAACGCGTATAAATCTGTGTATATACATATATATGCTGTGGGGGGGGGAAAGATACCCAAATAAGTTTTGTCTCCTTTATAGTATGTAAAACCTTAAACCAATCTCTGGTGATAATGCAAGTATATAAACTATGCACCATATGCTTGCGCAACCCCTTGATACGTCATCAGTCCCATGCAAGCTCCGCCCACTCTGCCCTTGTGTGTGTGTGCGCTCTGTTATTAGGTTTCTTGCGTTGCCCACGTTATGTCGTTGTCTTTTGGTTCTTTTCTTGCGTTGCTATTAAATATATATATATTTTTTGTTTAGTTACGGATGTAAGGATAGATAGAACTGAATTCTCTTACATTATTATTATTTTGGTGAAAGATTATTTCTGGTGTTCAACGTTTTATACTAAAGACACTTATGTTAAAAGTTTAATTTACCTTGTATTTTTATTTAATTTATATAAATTGGGTTATAGTATGTTTCGTTTATTTTTCATAACATACGTAGAGAGGATATCATATATTACTCATGGTTTAAAAAGAGGTTGAACTATAGATGCAAGAAACGGCGCCAGGAAACAAAAGACTATCGATCACACTCTCGCGATCGTCTCTCGTTACATATTTAACGTGAGGCGCAGTTATGACGACAGTACCACAGACACGTTACCTCAAGGAATATGTTATGAGGTGAAAATGGTCATAATTTCCTGCTATGAGTGCTTCTTTACCTACCATTTTATATATATATTCATATACATACTACCTACTATAGTAAGGAGTATGTACTATTTCGATATACTATATATATATATATATATATATATATATATATATATATATATATATATATATCCCTACTCCCCTATAGCATACATACTATACATATAGAATTAAATTATTATTTTATAGGTTCGAATCCCGGATGGAACTTAAATGGTTAGGCGCGTTTCCTATCACCTAATCCTCAGGGGACGGATTCAGTTGTGGGGTTGTGAAAAAATGAATTATTATAATTATTATTATTCGGAAGTATTAATATACTGCATTGAATTACTATCACTGATCAACTATTTATAAAATAATTTTCAAATAAACAAGTATACTATACTGTATTTAGAAAATTATAACTAGTGTGCAGTATTTCAGTCTTGCATGTAATGCCATTTTCTTATAGACAACAAGAAGGGGGTACCCGGAAGTGCCCGGGTATACCCGTCTCTCATCCTCCCCCCCCTCTCTCTCTCTCTCTCTCCAGGGCCTGACGGCTGAGTGGACAGATTCATAGTCCTAGGGTCGGGGATTGATTCCCGGCGGAGGCGGAAACAAATGGGCAGTTTCTTTCACCCTGATGCACCTGTTCACCTAGCAATAAATAGGTACCTAGGAGTTAAACGGTTGCTACGGACTGCTTCCTGGGGTGTGTGTGTGAAAACAAATTAATTGACAGTTGAGAGGCGGGTTCAAAGAGCCAGAGCTTAACCCCCCCCCAAGCACAACTAGGTGAGTACACACACACACACACAAAACTTAACAACAATTTTGACTATTTAATTTGAAGTTATGTTGGTGTGTGAACAACAAACTCTATGGAAACTAAACCCAAATTTCATACTATTTTGGAGTTTTTGTTTGGCACAATAGGAGCCACCCTGATCCTCCCTATGACACTCCATACGATCACAAATTACAAAGAAAAGTTGTGTAAGGCTACATGCAGGTGACATCCAACTTCAGAAAGACAGAAATTCTCTCTTTTACATATAGATTAATTCTCATTGTCAGGGACAGGAAGCATATACTGATTATATACAGATATTATAGATATATAATATTGATTGAACTACTAGCATTGACCTTCACCTATTTTTTTGTAAGATGAACAAAGGAATTAAATGAAGGGAAACATGCCCAACTATTTCTGTCACCTGAGGATCGAACTTGGGACTACATGTACCTGCTGGATCCAAGATTATGAGTCAAGAATGTAACCACTATACTAATTTCACATGGTTGTCATGACAATTGTCAATATTAATCATGCTTCAACACTTAACACCTATAATAATAATAATAATAATAATAATAATAATAATAATAATAATAATAATAATAATATTTTATTTATAAGAAGGTACGATGGGTTGGTGAGATTACATTAGAGTGACATTTTTACATTCTTGCAAAGCCACTAACACCATAGTGTTTCGGGCAGGTCCTTAATCTGTCATATCAGGCAAGATGAAAAAGTACATTGTAGCAAGGTTTTATATCAACAATATAAACTGACAGGTGATTACACTGGTAAAGATTAAGTACTTAATTAGTCTTAAGTACAGTACTGTACTAATTTTGGGGAAGTGGGTAGTATAAGACACAGTGTGAGTTTGAGGATGTGTTTCCTACCTTGTGTGAGGTATGAGGATGTGTTTCCTACCTTGTGTGAGCTATGAGGATGTGTTTCCTATCTTGTGTGAGCTATGAGGATGTGTTTCCTACCTTGTGTGAGCTATGAGGATGAAATTAGGTACTTCTTGGTTTTACTTTCGAACAGGGAATAGGTTGGGACAATTTTTTAATTCATCAGGGAGTGAGTTCCAAAGACTGGGCCCCTTTTATTTGCATGGAGTGTTTGTGCACGGGTTAAACCTGACTCTGGGGATATCAAAGATATATTTATTTCTGGTGTGGTGCTCGTGGGTTCTATTACACTTACCAAGGAAAATTTTCAGATCAAGATTAGTATTTAGGAACAATGTTTTGTACATGTAGATAGCACATGGATATCAAGTTCCTTTGCCTATACTTAAACAAGAGACTCAACTTCAGCACCCACATACAACACATAACCAAGGATGTCTCAAAAATGTTTGGTATACTCTCTAAAATCAGATATTATGTTCCAAACTTTGCTCTCCTCTCACTATACTATGCACTAATCTATCCATATCTTACATATGGTTCAACCACTGCATGTTACCTCAAGCCCATCATCACCTAGCAAAAATCTGCTATCAGAACAATAACAAACTCAGCTTTCAGACAACACTCAGCACCCCTGTTTAAATCACTAAACATACTAAACATAAACTCACTCCACACATTCTCTTGTGCTATTTACATTTACAAAACCCTGTTCTTAAATGCAAACCCTGTTCTGAAACTCTTCCTGGACAGATGTAACAGAACCCATAATCACCACACCAGAAATAGATATTTCTTTGATATCCCCAGAGTCAAACTTAATCTGTGTAAATACTCTATGCAAATAACGGGACCTAGTCTTGGAACTCTCTCTAACGAGTTGAAAAGCTGTCCAACTTTTGTCCTATTCAAAAATAAAACCAAAAAGTACTTAATTTTATCTTCATAGTTTCCTACCTAGTGCTTTAAATTCACACTGTATCTAGTGCTACCCAATCCCCCAATATATGCACCTAAGCCATACAACTTCACCACTGTAATCATTGCTATCATCGTGTCATGGTTGTTATATTGAATGCATATTTTACCACCTTATACCTTGAAATAATCCTCAAATTATGCTACAATGTACCTGTTGATAACCCTCAAATTTTACTTTAATGTACCTGTACATACTAATCTTAGTCAAATTTTCTTTCACAATGTACCTATTAAAAATTTGTAAATGTTACTAGAAATTACCTACAGTACTTAAAATTATTTGTTAGATTAAGGACCTGCCCTAAATGCTATGCATGCTAGTGGTTTTGCAAAAATGTAAAAACATCAATGCTATGTATGCTTATACAGTAAACCCAATATACCTTCTTGTATATACTATATAAATAAAATAAAAATAAAATAAAACATCAGAATGTGTGGCATGAGTGTATGTTTAGCATGTTAAGGGACTTAAACAGAGGGGACTGTATGTTGTCTGAAGACATAGTGTGTTATAGTTCTAATAGCAGATTTTTGCCAAGTGATGACCTGCTGAACTCCTCCAAACTGTAATACAGTACAACACAGTCCTTGTAATGGAAAAAAGCAAGTAATTATAAAAAAAAGGCACCAAGCCTGGAAGACTATTTAGCACCATCTGTGTCAAGGAACAGTAAAAATCCTAGATATCATTTAAGATGCCAATATGATAGCAAAAGAACAAAAGACAAGTGATGTCAAAGTATCTAATTCATCAAGACTAGAGTTAATAGAAAATAAGAACACTACTGTATGACTATTCCTAGCAAGTTTACTCGTTCACAATGTACAGTATTGTAAAATAAATACTGCATATATTACGTGAATAGTAAATGGCAGGCCACAGATATATATGAATAAAATTGGATAACCATGGCTATGTACTAATTTTATTTTCTAATTTTCATTGAATCAAGTATAAATACAAATTCGTACTGTAAATGAAAGGAGTCATTAATTAGATACTGTAATTCTGATTCTTTTTCCTGAGCATCTCTAATTGTGCTGGATCTTTACATAAAATCTATTATGTATCTGAAATACAATAATGCTGAATTTACCTGAGGGGCTACTAACACTAGTGGCCTCGACAAGGACAGGAAGTCAGCAGCTTGTCAAAGGTCCCCTCATTTACTGTAATGCAAATGTAATAAATCTCTCTCTTTAGTGAGGTGGAGCCAGAGCGAGTCTACTACAGAAGGGTAACTGAAACACACAGTAACAATATCAATATATTATGCTATACACTTTAACAATTAGGTGCTGGAGCTGCTGCTTTGGTTTATCCCCTCCTTCCTCTTCCTCATTCATATGACACTCAGGCAGCTCTGACTGCTTATACATTCTCTGCAAGAGAATGAATACAATAACAATGTGATGGAACAAAACGTTTCGGAACCAAATTTTATGTAGTTCCATCTCATGAAGGGAACTGAGAAAGAAACTAGGTCATGGGGATTTTGATCCTCAAAATCATCAACTGGTATACTGATGCTTGCATATCCCACAGTACAGGTAATAACTTTTAATGAAATATTCTAAAAAATACAAATTATAATTGCAATCCATATAACAAAAATAAAATTGAATTACAATGCCCTCCCTAATGTCAACTATATGAGAGGAAAAGTGGTTAGAATTACATGTAGTCATGTGTAAGAATAATCTGGGGGATAATAATTAAATATTTAATTTTTTGTTTAAATTACTGTAGAGAACAACAGTGCCTAAATCTGTGTACTGTACCACACAATTTGACATCAAGGCCTGTAAATTATCTAATATCCGAACTAACAGGGCGAAAACTGTGACAATGTGGTATTAATACTGCCAAAAACTGCACAAATTTACATATAAATACCAATAAGCTTAACAGTATGAAGCAAAAATAAGGTATTATAATGGTGTAATGTAGCTACAGTATTATAATACTGTAGGTATTTTTATGCCTAATTATAATGCTGTAGTCATTATAATTTATAATCAATGTAAATTAAAATCCCAACAAGATTAAATAACTAGATTAATTAACTTGAAGAAATGATGCCCAACCACTTGGACGGTTGGGGATTGAATGCTGACCTGCATGAAGCGAGACCGTCGCTCTACTGTTCAGCCCAAGTGGTTGGGTGCCAATACTGATATGACTTGGTACCCATCAAAACATTGTGCTTATTAAAATTATGATTCATTCAATATTGCATTTTTGTAACTGCTGTATTAAAAATTAAAGGATTCAAGAGCCAATAAGACATTTGTAGTTGACAATAATACCTTATAATGTTTCAGTAATACATTACCACTTCATAACTCAAAATGTAACCATTATCAAAATTATCACCCTGTCTGTGTAGAGAAAAAAAAAGTTTTTAATGATGCAATTTACATTTAAGAACTAAACAAATTAATAATCTGTTTTTCTGATCTAGTGAGCTGTAGAAACAAACTGGGCAGTGGTACTAGTATTTCCACTGATGCCAGATATAAGGTTTACCGATACAGTTGTACTTAGGAAAGGACTCTTACGGTCACCATGGATGTTTTTATACTGTATTTATTGCTTCACGTGTTTGTGTAGAATAACTACCTTTCTCACATAATTGACAAAAAAAAGTGACTGAGCAGAGTTTCATGGTTTTCTGCCAAACATACAGGATGGTAGTATTGTACTTAAGAAGTGACATAGCAGACAAATGATTACCAACTAGCATGTTTAGCATTGCATATGAGTTTTCAAACAAATGCACTCTTTCTCTCTTTTTGAAATGAAACAAAGGACTCAACAGTGTTCCCTACTTTACATTTCTTCCAGGCTACACATTTACATGTGTGGCCTCGTTCACATTTGCATGTGGAACCGTCAGGGTCCCGGTAGTACAATATGCAGCTTTGGGTTCGTTCTCAACGCACAATCAAGAAATCTGGGTTCGAATTCTGGGCAGGACAGAAATGGTTGTTCCCATTTCCTTTCATCTAATGCCTCAGTTCACCTAGCAGTAAGTAGGTACTCAGGAGTTAGTCAGCTTGTGGGGTAACATCCTGAGCGGGGTCAGTAATTTGGCCTGGAGAGGGGGGGGGGCCTCGATAAAATCCAAATCTGTATGGATACCCTGGCTTCCTATCCCCCAACACAATGAATTATTTTATTTTTATTTTATGTGACAGCGTTCAACTGATCATATCAACTGTAATACTCTCGGTATTACATCAAGAAACTGTCTTCTTGGAATGATGTGAGAACTAACAAGGGACATAAGTGACAGCAGCATTAAGATGAGTGACAAGTACAACCTCAATTCAACAAACTATATGGGACCAACTCCAAGTTGTTGCAGTGAGGAGGGATTCATTGCAATCAAAGATGCCTCCAAAATGGGATAATTTCACTTACCAAAATTATAATTTCAACTGATAATAGACAACTACGAAATGAACATGTCTGCCAAAAAAGTATCCACATCTAGCATAATTCCTACATACCCAGCCTCAAAACTCATTTTCAAAGGATAGCAGAGCCATACCTGAGTGAACCAAAACCTTGCCAACTCAAATTAGGAACAAACAATAGAATTTACTTTTAAATATCCTCAATATCTTTCCCAAGGTGTCACCTATTTCTTGAAATATTGATTTCATATACTGTACAAAAATTATCAAAAATATGATTGGAGTCATATTAAGAGCGTTATCATTCGCACCCTAATAATTCCCATGCTGTGTGGGCTGATTTCATTGAACAAAATTTTAATTTCAATATTTCATATGAAGGACAATTACCAAGAAAACCTGTCTATAAAGAGCTTTAACTACATTTAACATTTCCCATGCCCTAGTCTTGAAATTTCATTTTCCAAGGAAAAAGGGCCCCAATTCATAGTACAGTATATATGAATTATATTAGTGAATGAAAACTAGGGATTCTTAAAATTAAAATGAATCATAGGATTTGGTTTTAAATATGCTCAATGGCTTTCACAAGGCCCCTTACTATTTCTTCTACTAATGTTGTGCCCATCTACAAAAATCATTTAAAATGTAACTGGAGGCCTTCAGGGCTATCAAGAGGAGGAGTTACCATTTACCCAACAAAATAACTAAAATGGAAAAAAACAAATCCACACACTCTGGAGATTTGTTGAATCAAGGTACTGTACATTATACAAATTATGCAATATTTGGCTTAAAAATTAAGTGGTGATATAAATATTGGTAAAACACAGTGTAGTAGTAATGACAACAGTTGCTGTGAAAATATATAATAAAAAATTATAAGCTACAGTACATTTTACATTTTATAAGCTACAGTATATAATAAGAAAATAGCCGAGTGACTAAAGTTAAAAATAATTGTTTATTGTACAATTCACCAAATACAGGACATAACAAATGACTTAATTTAAAGCAATACAGTAAATTAAAAAGCATCATACAATTTGAAAGGCAAATTACAAACTAAGTACAGGGAGTTAGAAAAATTTGCACAGCGTCTGCATTTTAAAGACCATATACCATTTACTGAAAAACATACAAGTGGCAGCAAGACATAGATTTGATGAAAAATATAATGGAATAAAGATGATATTTCATTAGAATTTACCAGAGGAGGAGCAGCATCTTGAAGTTGCCTCAACGGGGACAAGAAGTCACAGCCTGTCAAGGTCGTGAGAGTTTTTTACAGTTGAAGTTTGAACCGAGGCACTGCCTTGGAATTGATGGCTTCAGTGGGTATGTAATTCCATGAATTTATTACCTATAGACCAATGTACTAAACACCAATGAGAGAGAGAGAAAAAATGAGTGTTTGACTAACCTGTGTAGGAGTGGTGCCAGAAGGAACTCCAGAGCAATGAGTCTTCCTCAAAGAAGTAATTAAGCATAGTCCTGCTGACCTGAAGCTGAAGGGACAGCTAAAGCAGAAGCCGCACTCACTAGGGGAAAACAAGTGCACACCTGTAAGTTAAAATAAAAAGTTAGTCCTTAATCTTGCCTGGAGAATTTGCAATGTACACTACAATTTATTTAAAATTCATTATGATGTAATAAATATACAAGGACAGTACTCTGATCTATATGCAATCATATTGTAACAAGTGACAGCACCAATATGTAGCCATCATTTTGCTAGTAGAGGCTAATAAAATACATCCCTGATAGTGAATATTATGCAGGTTAACATTTAAAAACTTTCAAGTGTAAAAAAATCAATGATTCTACTGGGTCAGAGTATGCAAGGCTAATTAGTGATCAACTGGGTTAGGTTAGGATTGTATAATTTTCTGCTACACTTTTGCATAGGATAGGTAATTTACTTTAAGTAATGATCAAAATAAGACACAAAGCCTGGAAGACTGATAGTTTACTGCGTTAGTAAGCAATTATCAAATGAATTAAAGCATTAGGTAAGACCACAATGCCACAAAAATGGTATACAACATCTCAAAGATTGTGGATTACCTTGAATTTTTTTTTTCCAGAATTGAAAGACCATCATTAATATCCATCCATCCATCCTTTTCACCTCCCCATTATTAGCCTGCCCGCCGTCTGTGGTCTGACCTTCCATCAATTATACTGCTTTTATAAGCCATCTTATCTGCAAACAAAAAGTCTGATTATACCAGGAAATGCACAACAACAATAAAATATTTGTCCAGTGATAATGGATCCTATATAATTCCTGTTGTTTGGGACAGGAAGCCTGTGTACATTTATTTATTTATATACAAGATATATTAGGGTTCTTATATTCTTATAAAGTCAAAAACACGCATAGCGTTTAGGGCAGAATAAATACACCATAGTTCCAGCTCTGTAACCCTTTCCACTACCGCCCACAAGATGGGTATGGGGTGCATAATAAATGAACTAAACTAACTAACTAAAAGGTCCAACTACTGACCTTCTGCAGGATGCAACCCCACGACAGTTGTATAACTCCTGTGTATCTATTTATTGCTAGGCAAGACAAAAAGAGGCATCAGGGGAAATGAAATGTGCCCAAACATTTGTGTCTCGCCCCTCGGGCTTCACGAGTGTGAGTCGAGAACGAAGCCTACTGTACAGGGTTGCCAGATACAAATTGCTGAAAGTAGCGAACTGACGGTCAAAAAGTAGCGAATTTGTAATAATAGTAGTCCCATTTTTTGTTGAGTGACTGATACGGGTTTCAAAGTAATATATTTTGATATATAGAGTACATTACACGATGTTAATTGTTTTATTCATATTATTTTCATATTATTTCTGCACAGACACACATACAAAAAAGGAAACCCGGATTTCTAGCAAACATATAAACATAGTTCACACATATAAACGGAGCTCTACAAATCAAGGGACCCAGAATGTGGAATGACCTTCCCAATCATGTTAAAGACTGTACCTCTCTCAACCAGTTTAAGATAAAAACTAAGCACTACCTAATAAATTCCCTGTAACCTACCTTACCCCTATATTGTCAACCCATGTCTGTTTTTTTTTAAACAACGCTGTTTGTCGACCTAATTGTATTTGTGCTTGGTGATTTTATCGAGCAATGTTTTGGCATTTACGGCTTCGGCGGGTATGCGTTTCCACAACGTTATAATTCTATGGGTGAAAACAAATATTTTCCATCCTTCAGTGTGGCTTGTTGAGCTCGAAACCGTTGCTCCTTGTTGGTCTTACAGCTAGCCTTTTGAAGAAGTGTTCTGGGTCAATATCTTCCAAATTATTCAGTAATTTAAATGTTTTGCCGAGAGCAGCCCTGTCATGTCTGGTACCTGTGGCCCTCAACCGTTCCCGGTATGAAAGTCAACTTTGTTCGGGAAAGATTTTAGTCGCCTGGTGTTGAACTTTCTCTAAAGCAGATATGTCTTTCTGAAGATGAGGTCTTAATGCGTGGATATAATAATCAAGTGGAAGCACACCAGAGATTTATACAGTTGTATAACTACCTTTTCCTTCGTCAAAATTTCGTTTGACTATTCCAAAGGATTTGGTTTGCTTTTATAACTGCAGCTTCCACGTGTTGTACAACTATCAGTGATTGGTGGATTCTGACTCCAAGATAATGTTGATGATTTGGTAGTTGTGCATTGTTAAGCCCCACGTGGGTGAAAAAAATCTCCTGTTTTCTGTCCTAAGTTGTGGCTTGTTGAACCTATCCACCGCTGCCCACTGGATGGTGGGGGGGGGCGGTGTGCAGGACAAACATATATATTGTGACACTAGCTCTCCACATATGTCAGTTGCTTAATTTAGAACCTGTACTTGAGGTCGATCTCGAACCCATTGTTGATGTGACGACTTATATTGAATTTTGTAACTAGCTCATAAAGATTGTAACTTGCTTAGCTAAATGAATTGTGGGGTTCAGTCCCTAAGCCCATTATGTGCCTCTGTAACCTTTTCCACTACCGCCCACGGGATGGGTATGGGGTGCATAATAAATGAACTAAACTAAACTAACTGAACTTGAAATCGTTGTTCCTTATATGTGATTGATTGATGAAGATTAAGCTACCCAAGAGGTGGCACAGGCATGAATAGCCCGTAAGTGGAAGATTTTTTTGGAGTGAATGTGATCTTTGGTCGTAGAAGGATATACTGCGTGCTGTGCTCGCATTTAATTTAAATTGTCAGTCTGTGGCTGCTATCGCGGGCTGCTTGTTTGTGTTGCATCTGACCATAAATAAGCATCATTGAGTTGCTTAACATTAATAGCCAAAATTAGCCCAACTTGCTTTTAAATTAGCCCAAAAAGTAGCAAGTAGCGAAATTAAAAATTTGGGAGCGCGCGGCTCTCAAAAGTAGCCCAATTCGCTACTTGGTAGCGAATTGGGCTACTTTCAACAGGACTACAGTCAGGTAGTCAACAATTAGGTAGTCAGGCCGTTTTTCTATAACACCTGTTATATCCTACAATATGTAATTATCATTTTAATAATACTTTTAAATAATTAATACTTCACTTTTTATGTAGATTAAAGTTGAAGCAGAATCTCATAAGCAGGATCGGTGTGCTGAACAAAGATGATTTATTAAGTGGGTAGAGCCTTTAGCTGATTCCTTCTTGTGATTGGATGTTGTGGTAAATGTCATGAAAGAATTTCAACCAATGATATGCAAGCACGGGAATTCTTACTTCAGCACAACAACCCTTCTTATGGGCTGCTGTTTGGCTATTGATAGTGCCATGTCGAAGCAATAGATGGCGCCAGCTGTATTTTGTAGGGTGGCTGTTGATAGTGTAATTTGATGCTAACAGATGGCATAAGCTGTATCTTATGGCAATTGATGACCAGGCTTCTTGATAAGTGTTTTTTTCTGCCGACAGATGGAATCAGCTGTATTACTTCCGAATTCCCTTTTAAACACTGATCTACAAATCCCGTAGCTTATAAGATTTTATTCTGTACTGATGTTAGGAAACTGGAGTTTTGCAACTACTTATTTTTATCTATTGTTGAGGATATCATCATATAATGCACCCAAGACTTGGCAGTGTAGACTGTTGAACTCATGCCTCTCTATATGCTAATATCATTAGCTAGTTCTTGTCTCAAACTGTGTTAATCCTCTATATTCTTAATGTTAATTAAAAATAAACAATAAAGCTTAATATTTTGTTTACTTAAAGTATAATACACTTCTTCACCCACACACACACTCTCTCCTTATATTTATATCTATAAATGGAAATGTCTGTGTCCGAGGTTGGAGGCTAGTTAGTTTAGTTCATTTATTATGCACCCCATACCCATCTTGTATGCGGTAGAGGAAAGTGTTACAGAGGCACATAATGGGCTCAGGGACTGAACCCCACAATTCATTTAGGTAAACAAGTTACAATCTTCATGAGCTAGTTACAAAGTTCAATATACGTCGTCACATCATCAATGGGTTCGAGATCGACCACAGCATAAACTCACAGATCTCTAATAAAGAAGTACTTTATTAGCAAATATTTAATATTTATGCTAGAAATAGTTTATTACTGTATTAAAAGAGTATTACAGTAATAAATTAATTCTATCAGTCTTCTTAACGATGTTATTATAAAAGCTATTTTTATCCTAATCCTACCCAATCTACTACATTTTCCTTGGTATAATTTTGTTCTATAAGACTTTCTCAAATGAGATTGCCCGATGTCATATCTACCAAACCTACATTGCCAATTAAGCCTAATGATCCTACCGAACAGTAACCTTACCCTTCAGTAACTACACATTTCCTACAAAATCCTGTAAATAACATAATTTTCCATGTTCTTTCTTGTCACGCTAAATTTAACTACTTTATATAGCAAAGGTTTCAGACTTTATTGCTTTAGTCACAGTTTAACACCAGGTTTCATAATGCTGTTGGTGGACTTGTGTCTGAAGTCCTTTTCCGTAAGTGAAGCTCACCAACAGTGATTAGGGATTCTGAGATTGGAATCGAAAGTAGAGGTGCTTCCTTGAATAGACTCTGTCCAAGTTGTTTCCCAAAGAATGGACTCTGACACTAATTTCAAGAGCCTCATTGAATTCTCAAAAGAAATCAACTAGCTTTATTTTTTGGACTCTGTTTGTTTCCCAAGGATTGCACTCTGCCAAACTACCATTGGATTATCAAGAGAACTCATTATTGGATTACTTTTGTGGGCTCCGTCCATGTTTTTCAAGAATTGGACTCTGCCAAACTATCATTGAATTCTCAATGGAAATAATGTAGCTTCCTGCTGTGAACTCTTTTCATGTTTCCAAATGATTGGACTTTACCAAACTATCAGTGGATTATTGAGAGAGCTCATATGCCTTCCTTGTATGGACATGGAATAGCTTGAATGCTATTCCATGGCCAGCATATGACATCATTCTTGTCGCATTAACTTTAATCTTAAATTAATATGCAGCTCTCCTTGTCATCCACATGCTTAAAATTGAAGATTAAATGAAATTAACATAAATCAAAATATTTATTTTAGTGACGTATGCTTGAAATGAAATACTATTAACATATAGATAGGTTATAGGTTATAGATAGGAGCTGCCTCGTATGGGTCAATAGGCCTTCTGCAGTTGCCTTTGTTCTTATGTTCTTATATTTCCAAGGTTCTGAACGTTATTAAATTTTACCTCTGTATTCTAAATATCGGTAATCTTTAATTAACAGTATATTATTCTGCAATAATTATTTTGTATTAACCGGAACCATATGGTTGTGAGCTAGCAGCGCTGACTACTGCTCTGCGGGGTACATAATAAATGCATCTGTAAAAACAAAACCTTTCCTGAGATAAACCATGAAGCAGAGTAGATTTTTTCGTCATTTTACGTGTTGGTCACCTTCGTTTGGGAAGGACGTCCTCCAGAATTATATGGTTAGCAGCACAGATAGAGACCATTACTTATGGTCCGTTTTCTGAAGGAACTTTGCCATTGTTGAGGAAAAATTCATGGAGAACTTCCCTCATGGACATCGGACAGTCTGGAAAGGCAGACCAGCAGTTGCCGTAGCTTCTTCCATATTCTTCTGCCTGGATGTAATCTCTTTGATCGGTATCGCCCTGAAAACTTGGCCTGTAAGAACATGAGAGGAATCAGTGGACTCGTGTTTACAAATACAGTTACCACGAAAGGACTAGTTGGAGAAAATTAGACGAGTCATGATATATATATATCATGACTCGTCTATATCATGACACGCACACACACATATGTGTGTGTGTGTCCACAAACATTGATTTTTTAGGCTACTAAAGTATAAACATATTATATTGGCTTACGACTCCCGCTGGAGCAGAGAGCTTAACAAATAAATATGACTGTTAATGCATTTAAAAAATGGTCTCCATGGAAAAGCAAATTTGAGCGAACCAGTTTACTAGTATTTACAAAAAAAGGTAATTAGCATCATTAACATTCTTTGAAGGAATCACCTGGTTCACACGAGGAAGCCAAAAGCGATACTTACGCGAAGACAAGGTTGATGATCTCCCCGAAGATACCGTATTCTTCCAAGGGTGCTTCTCCGACCTCGCACACGGCTCTCAGCACACACGCCTCCCCGTCCAGCCCCGCTCTGACAATGCAATAGGTGAGACTTAGCTACCATGTGTAGTTTCCAGTCAAAATACTTGTAAACGTTCACACTACTAGTCAAGATACCTGTCGATATTTACGCTATCAGTCAAGTCATCATTTACGCTTCCAGTTAAGACACGTCAATTTTTACACTGCTGGTCTAGACACTTTGTCAACGCCTCTATTAAGAGAATATAAATGGAAGTTAGACACGCAGATTTCTACAGGTGTATGACAGACAGTCACGTACAAATTTTAAGTAACCAGTTTACAACAAATGTAAATTGCTTGACTTAAAGATAATTAGAGTTCACGCCCAGGATTCGTCATGCATATAGCAAATTTATTAAACAGTTTACGAGCCATGAAACTTCACAGTCCAAGGTTATTATTGTTATAAACAATCTATCATGGCGGCTTTGTTTACATATTAAATAGTTTATGAGGTCCAAAGCACTACTATGTTATTTATAACAATAATAAAATTGGGTTGTGAAGTTTCATATATTATTATATGCATTAGAGGAGACGAATAAGGTGTGTATGTGCAACCCATCCTCAGGTTATGTTCGACTACAGTGCGCTCCGACCGTCTCCTAAGGAAAATTCGTACGTATTTGCTAATAGTTTAAAGTAAATATGAACTAATATTAATATATATTAGTTTTGTATATAGTTCGGCTGTATAGTTTTATTTTGTAAGGAAGGTTAGGTATTTAAGTTCAATTGACAGTTACATGTATTTACAATACACGAGGGAAGCATTTATTGAGATGCGTTTAGAACATAGGAAGTCATCGAAACACTGTTCGAGAATAGTTCGAACGTAATATGTTGTTAATCCAATCCATCATCAAAACAAACGGCCGTCGGGTTCAAAAGGAATTAGTCAAACTTATTAAAAATCTATGTAATTCAGCATTTGATTTATAGCTTTGGTTAAAAGGATAGGTTGTGTTGTGTTAATCACAGTCGGTCATTGAAGCATAAGTAAAGCGGACTAACTTGGAGAAGAAGTCCTCCAAGAGGCTGTAGATGGCGGAACGATCGTTGGCCAGGGAGCGCTTGTGGTGGAGCCTCAGAAGTTCGTCAGGAAGCACATAGTAAATCTCGAACCGGTAATCTCCTATGGTCTCTGCGGGTCGGAGGAGAAATGGTCTTCAATGCTCCATTCACAGATTTTTATAGACAGTTGTACAATTACCCGAAACGCTATGCGTATTAGTGGCTTTAGGTATTGTATATACTAGCTCTATCTATAAATCCAACATTATGTTTGTAACTCTGCATCTATGTATGTACTTTTCCTAAATAAAATATTATTATTATTACTGTAACTTTTTATTCTACCGTTTAACTACTAACCTAGTTTTTTTATTAACAAGAAGAATCTGCATAGAGAAGTTACCATATAAATGTTCTTGTTGGGTAATACCTCGCTAAATATGAAACGTATATAATTAAAAACATTAACGAATGGCCAAAATATTATTGTTATATGAATAAATAATAGCAACCTTTCATGTAGGATCGGTTAGGTTAGGTACATATTATATTCCTCGAAGTTTTGAGACAAAATGTATGTAGGAAAAATGCTTGAGGTATAAAATAGAATGAGCTCAACAATTACTGTAGAATATCAATAGAAGCAATGCGTTTATTATCAAATTAATATTTGACTTTCAGCAAGGTGGGGAAAATCAAGTTGGTTGTTTATATAAACAACATAATGAAATAGGATTAGTTTACATATGTACCAGCAACATAATGTTCAAAACACCCTTGGGTTCTTGGCTACTCTGCACGCTAAACGCAATAGAAGGATGCCTCAAGTAAATTATCTGATAATTATGATAATTTACTATTGCCTATTCAAGTTCAAGTATGCTTATTGAGATAAGAAAGAAATACATCTCAAAGGAATAGAGTAGCTTAGGCTATTTCTACCCGCCCTACTGCCTATTACCTGAAGATACTCACGGACTCTAGGGAAGGTCCAGTAGGGCACGAGCAGTTTAAAGTAGAAATTCACGTATGCATGTTGTGGGAAGGTTATAAACTGCCGCTTAACCCGGGGTCGATTTGCAACATCGCTTCTTCTGTTAGTACTATTCATGTCCCAGTCTAGGGCATGGTTCACTGATTCCGATCCCAGAGAAGACCCCAGCAGAGACTTGATGGAAGATGCTGGAGGCGTGGCAGAAGCAGCTGAAACAGCAGCAGCAAACACTGTCAACGCCACCTCCGCTAGGCGCCACGGTGCTGATGCTGCGCTCTTCATACCTGGGTACATGTAGACAATACTGAGTAATGTTTGGATTCAGAAACTATCTTCACACACACACACACAATAGCTCGCTTCGGCAGGCACAAATAGTAAATACACACACTCACACACACGCACTCACTCTCACACTCAGTCACTCACTCATACACACACACACACACACACACACACACACACACACACACACACACACACACACACACACACACACACACACACACACACACACACACACACACACATACACAAAGGCGGGACCAAAGAGCCAAAGCTCAACCCCCGCAAGCACAATTATGTGATTACACACACACACATCCCCAGGAAGCAGTTCGCAGCAGGTGTCTAACTCCCAGTTACCTATTTACTGCTAGATGAACAGGTGCATCAGGGTGAAAAACTGGCCATTTATTTCTGCCTCGGCCGGGAATCGAACCAGGACCCTTAGGACTATGACCCCCCCGAGCGCTTTCCATTCAGCCGCGAGGCCCCCTGTTATAGGGTTATAGATATAGTGTTTTTCTCCTTGCTTAGCACATTGCGTGCTGTAGCACCAGTCCGTCCTCTCGAGCGTCGTCTCTAAACGTATCCCAAACGTCTCTAAACTGATGTACTAAATTGCCCGAACCTAACCTAACCTAGGACAAACGAATAGAAAACGGAACGTCACGTAACTTTTGCGAGCCACTGTGATTAATAGTCCACCAGTTTTTGGCCCTATGGGATTTATACGTCAAAATGCAGTGTGTCATTCGAGAGGACGGGTTATTAGCACAGTGGTCTACGTCCTCGGCTCACAACCCAGTGATCCGAGTACAATACTTGGGAAAGGCAGAAAGAGTTGAACGTGTTTCCTTTCACCTGATGCCTATATTCACCTAGCACTAAAATAGTACCCAGGAGTTGCGCAATTGCTGTAGGTAGCATCCTGAGGAACGTCAGTAGGCGTTCAAACAGGGGGGGGGGGGTAGAAATAGCCTAAGCTACTCTATCCCTTTGAGATGTATTTCTTTCTTGTCTCAATAAACATACTTGAACTTGAACTTGAACGGGAGGACGGCTAGGCGTCACGGGAGGACCTCAATAAGTCTATAAGAACAGGTTTCCTGTTCCGCAACAACGGGAATGTTATTAGATGTAGGAAAGTGAGTTCAGTGGAGTGGCTAAATGAACTTAATCACATTAATCCCTGCCATTATTAAATAAAGACATCTCAGCTCCGCGTGAGGAAAGATCTCAATTGCTCAATCGTTTACAAGAACAGTGTCACTGGCACACAAAGGAAAACTGATGGTTTATATATATATATATATATATATATATATATATATATATATATATATATATATATATATATATCTTCCCGGATGTGTGTGTCTTCATGGAAGTCACACACCCATGAATGTATCTTCATGAACGTCGCACACATCTCTAAAGGAGCCAAGAACCTCCTTGAAGACGACACATAACTTCCTGACGGAGTGGTATATACATCCATCCAGGAGGTACAAACCACCTTTAGTCAAGCAGGAGGGAAATAATTTCCTGAAGGAGATAGCCATAGATGTCTGCCTTAATCTGTTGAAATGACACTAGCCTACCTTAACCTCCCGAAATTATACAAGGCCTGCCTTAACCTACTAAAATGACACATGGAGGCCTACCTTTCGTTTGCTCTTGCGATAACTCACCACAGCCAAGATCAGAAGTGCAACCTTCCTCCGTTCACCTCTCGCGCCGTACTGCTGCTCACAATTACCTTATCCCCCCTTTCTCTTCCCCCCTTTCGTAACTCAGCGCATGCGCACCAACTCGCCTAGCATATGTGTGTGTGTGTGTTTGACCGTAATCCAGCTCTGTATTTTCAATGTACAATACATTTAAAGTTTTAATTAAACTAACGAGTATAGCGTTACAAAAATACCAACTTCTAATAAGTCGAATACTCAGCCCATCCTCCAAAAATGAGAGTACTTATAGTAACTATTTGGTGGAAAGTACTACTATGTACAGATGGACCACCAAAAAACTGACCACTATATTATTGAATGTTGCCAAATGGTGAACTTTTTTAATGGCAGCATAAATATAAGACCTAATATAACTTCTATTAACAATCCTAGGCCTAATACACACAGGCTACTCGTGGCCTAATATATTACATATTATATATGTATATAAAATACACTGATGTATACTTGGCCTAAGAATATCTAACCCTATGTATTGGTTTTAGCTTCAAGTTTTTCTGGACTATAAAATTAAAAGTACAAAAAGTAAATTACTGGTGGTCCATCACTACAAATTGGTACTTTCGACCAAATGGTTACTGTAAGTACTATCATTTCAGGAAGATGGGGTTGTATTAGATTACATTACATTATTGCGGAGGGAAGTAGGTGGGGGTCGTTGTGGGAGGGTGGTGATTGGAAGGGGTGGTGAAGAAAAATTAGGCTCCGTCACTTCTATAAAACACAATGGCCAAGATACCTGATCATAAAAGTATTTGTGTGTACGTCTGGTGACATACTGCATGTGTAGGGGAAGAAATGTGAGTGTTTATCACTTAGAATGTTCAGTAATATGTTGATTGTCATGTGAGTCTATATATATATATATATATATATATATATATATATATATATATATATATATATATATATATATATATATATATATATGACAATACAAATTCTAGAAAGTTATATTAAAGATGGCAACGTAGATAAAATATGACAATGAAGGCAAAGACAAAAGACATTTTATTTAAAGTGTTCTTTCAGCCTCATCAGCCAGAACATATTTAGCTTGCGTAGGCTGCCTGACTGGATAGTTAACTAGCTGATTGGTTGATTGGGCGACTGGTGAGCGGTCGACCGGTGGGCGGGCTGGATGGTTGGTTGACTGACGTGCTGGTTGGCTGGTTGACTGGTTGACTGACAAGCTGGCTGGCTGGTTCGTGCTTCAGACCCATGGACGGCTGCCCATGCTCACACTTCTTCCTTCTTCCGCTAACTCTGCATCCGAGTCTTTTAAGGTAACCATTTGGTGATATGCCCCGTTATCCTCTCAATAAAATGTTTCATCCTATATGCTTTTACCGGCAACAGCATTTGCTGTGCTGCTGCACGTTTTCTCAGTGTAACCGTTGTTCCTGTTGCCCCACCTGTACTCGGACTCATGGTTCCCTCATTCCTGCATTTTGAAGGAGATACATATCCCCAGGAAGCAGCCCGTAGCAGCTGTCAAACTCTCAGGTACCTATTTACTGCTTGGGACATCATGTTGAAAGAAATTCATTGCCCATTTGTTTCTACCTCTGTCGGGGATCAAACCCGGGGCCCTTAGGACTACGACACCAAAGCGCTGTCCACTCAGCCGCGAGGTCCCGTGTATATATGTGTGTATGTGTGTGTGTGTGTGTGTGTGTGTGTGTGTGTGTGTGTGTGTGTGTGTGTGTGTGTGTGTGTGTGTGTGTGTGTGTGTGTGTGTGTGTGTGTGTGTGTGTGTGTGTGTGTGTGTTTTGGGTTTGTTATTTGATTTCCAGTGGGCTGTGTAGTGGAGATGATTGTATCTCCACCAGCGTGGAGTAACGACAGCCGTCCAGCCACCCTGAAGTACGGTACACGTAGCCTGAGACGTTTCGTCCCACCTCACCTTGTGTGACAAGGTCATCTACCGTTTCACAACTCGTCACATCATCCAAAGCATTGTTTATGCTCTAATTACTGTCGGTAGTTTACGCGTTTTTTTTTTAGTTTAGTTCATTTATTATGCACCCAATACCCATCCTGTGAGTGGAAGTGGACCCCGTACCCATACTGTGGGTGTTAGTTAACCCCACGTCCATCCTGTGTGTGGTGGTAGAATTCATATCAATCCTGTTAGTGGTATTTGAGCCCATACCCATCCTGTGAAAGGCAGTGAACCCTATACCCTTCTGGGAGTAGTATGACTCCCCATAGCGCGGAAAACGTTACAGTGGGACATTATGGCCTCAGGAACTGAACACTAATACTTGTGTTCAGTTTAATTAGTGTACTGTGGACTCCGTACCCGTCCTGTGGGTGATTGGCAGAAAGGATTTAGTGTCTGTTGTGGCAACTGCAGAGGACGGGCTGGTATATGAGAAGTATTTAGCCATACAACAGCAACAAAAGAAATGACTAAATAAGTCTCCACCATAAATATTTATTATCGCCTGTTAACAACTCATAAAATATAATCCCGAGACCCGAGATCCATCAAAATGAAGTCTCAAGATTCTTAAGATTTTATAACCACTTCATGCTATGAGAACGTCTGCTTTAAACCGTCAACAGTTACCAAAGTCATACATACATATGAACAGTTTTGCAAATAAAGTACAATATTATCGCGGCAAAAGCCTCAATTACCATAAGAGTCAGGAAGACAATAAATATATGTTTCTACATCATTTTCATGTTGGGTGTCGACCACAGGGGTACCAGACTGGTTAGGCAAATTGTCTAACTACATTTAAAAATGTATAATATTGTATTTATAATGTAAGTACTGTAAAGATTCCTAACAATTTACGCACGTTAATAAGTGCATTGAGTTTTTTCGAGCCAAATACATTATATTGAATTTTATAATTTTATTTTATTTAGTTCAAGTTAGTTTGCATTGAGTTTGCATTTTAATTTGCATTGAATAGGTCAGGTTAGGTTTAGGTTGGTGTGGATAGGTAAAGTTAGGTTAGCTTGATTTGGCTAGGTTTAGTTTGGTTTAGCTAGGTAAGGTCAGGTTATTGAGTTTTAAGGCGATTAGAATGGAAACTGTGTGATTGATAGTGGTAGTCAATAATTTGTAATAACATGTTTATTCAGTTATAATATTTAGGATTTATAAAAAGTCACATACACTTTTAAATATTTATTAAATTAAAGTATTTTGACAATATATATTTAAAAACCACTAAATAATGGTGTTGACACAGTTCCTTATTTGATCACCCTTCATATTCTTCATATACTGACACATTGAACAAATACACTCACACATTAAACAATACTCACACACTGATCAATTCACTCACAATGACACACTGAATAACACACTCACACTAGCATACTGAATACACTCCCAGATAATGAACATACTAAGTAAAGACACTGCATGTCTTCCCCAGAGCAAGTTTCATTAATATTTAGCAAAACACAATGTGCACAGCGTATATATTTATTTATTGTTGTGGAATTTACTTGTAACCCAGGTAATTGATGTAGTAAAGATGACTTTCTAAATACTCTAGTAAAACTTTGGGCTATTTGAACACGTTACCACTATAATCAAATTTATAGTGGTATTCAATAAAGTTGTCATAGAATATAGTCAAATAAGGTAAATGCTATAATAATAATTATGATATAAATAAAGATATATAAATAATGATAATAACGATGTGTATTCATATATGGGATATATATATATGGGATATATACATCTGAAGGTGTACCCTGTCTCTCGGTGTATGTACACTAAGTTTACACTATTCCTGAACCATGTTTAGGATTAAGGTGTGTTTGTTGGATTGTCTGTAATATCTTGTAGAGGTCTTAATAATTCCTCAGAGGTCAATGGGCCTTAAACCCAACACCATACATTAGACCAATCAGTTGTTGGGAAGATCTTGAGAAAAAATTTATTTGCTGAGCTAATTTTGCTCACCCATGACTCCATGAAAATAGCATTCGGGCCCTCTATAAATACTAATTTTCTTAAAATATTTAACTTAGGCCGAACCCTGATCAACTTATGTGCGTCCCATACCCCAGACCATTTCCCCTGCAAAGTTTGGCGAGGCTAGCCTCAAGTGTCCGATCTCCAACCTTGGACATATAAACTGACATTCTCTCTTATAGATATAGATTTTAAGGCTCTCGCATTCATTTACACACGTAGACACGATACATATTCTAAAATATATGGCTGGCTAATCATTATAATAAATGGGACGCAAAAATCAATCGCTAATCGTTATACAGTCAAGCATTGTAAACCCATCGAGCGAAATCAGCAAAAAAGCTGGTTTAATGTACTGAACTGATACTAGGCTACTATATAATATGGGTTTGGCTACTTAGTCCCTTGTCGTTTCAGGCTCTTATTTTCCGCTTCGTCTTATGGTCTTCCTACTCCTTAAGATCATACACTTCCTAACTATGAAGCTCGCACAACCACTTGGGCTGGACGGTAGAGCGACGATCTCGCTTCATGCAGGTCGTCGTTCAATCCCCGACCGTCCAAGTGGTTGGGTACCATTCCTTCCCTCCCCCCCATCCCCCCCCCCGTCCCATCCAAAATCCTAAACACCTCAGCTGTACTATCTTACGCCTCATTCTACCCACCTTACGCTTTAGATGCACTATCTTACACCATATACTAATTACGCCTCAAAGGTACTGTCTTACGCCTCATCTTTACCATCTTTTGCCTCAGTCATCTGTTTCGTTTAGATATTCCGAGTGAAGATCTTATAAGGCCGTTCCAATATTATTTTTAATCCCAGGAGCAATGCCGCATGATAAGTGAACAGTTGGAACCTGTACAAAGGGGCCGATTAATAGCCTTGATATATAAGGTATGATGTGACTACAGCTGACACGAACATGGGTAAAGCAAGAACACTGGTGCAAGAAATAAATAGACTTAATAAGAACATGGGTGCAACAAGAGCAATAGACCAACATAAACATGGGTGCAACAGCAGAAATGTACAACAGAAACATGATACAACGGGAACATTGGTACAATAGGAACATGGATACTAGATCTTGGTACAACAAGAACATGATACAACACGAACATAGAACAAGAAGAACATGTGTACACCATAAACATAGAGACCCATGATTCGGAACACACAAATACACACACACACATATATATATATCTCTTTCGTAAGAGAACTTAAAGAAAAATATTGCTGTCAAATACTGGCCAACAGTCCACAGACCGCGTCAAGATGACGTTGCCCGCGACGTCACTCAAGATTGCTACGCCCATCATCATGACGTCGCTGAAGGCAGCGTCACTCATAAAGTCTGTGTAAATACAACGGGAATATAAAAAATCTACTTAAATGTTTATTTTTATTTGTTATCAGTTAATTCGGAAATGTGATTGGCTCTCTGGTCGGGCATTGGGTTTTCATGATGAAACTAATTTATTATTAAAATTTAAACACTACAAAACTGATTAGACCTGGTTCAGTTTACGTAGGTGAAAGTTAGGTATGGTAAGACTTAGGTTCAACAGGTCTATTTCTAGTAGGAATTAAAACTTGGCGGGTGGTAACGATGTATTAAACTTCATTGAGTATAGTTTGTACTGTTACATTATGGATGAGTATAACGCTATTACATAGGATCCAGAAAGCGTAATGTATGCGTATTGGTTTTAAAATAATGATGTCGTGAGCCTCCACAAATGGCGATTTCTTAAACGATCGGCGACGGTCTCAATACCAAAATAATTAAATGTGGGTATCTGGTCACCCATCCAGTAACTGGCCAGACCTAATGGTGCTCAGCTGGACTGGTCGAGTTATTTACGTGCGACTTATTTACAGTGCTGCTGTATTGTGAAGAATACAATACAAGTGGTTAAATGTGTGAGACAAAAGACTTATGAAGTATTGACTAAGCTGCCAGTTGAGTACTATATACTCTGGTGGTCCACAAGTTTAAACCCAATTGGCTTATTACCTAATAAAAATTTTTTCTCACTTTTCGACCGTGCATGAAAGTACAATACCTTTTCCGATAGTTTCTTTGTAACAATCACCACAAAAAAACAATCTCTTGACGATTAAAATGAAATAAGTTATGAAGGGAACAACACCTACATGAACAGTGGTTAGCTGAACTCAAGAGTTAAATTCTCCAGCATACATTTGTTTCGCCAAGTAGCTGTAAAATTGTCTGAGTCACTCGTCCCATGCGTCTGCTATGTGCTGCTCCCTGACAACTGTCGCTGCTGTAGCCTATCTCTTTGTATGTATTTAAAAACTATCTCTAATGTAACCTGTCACTTTGCATATATTTAAGAACTATCTTCTGTATCCTATCCCTCTGTGTATATTTAAGAACTATGTCTGTTTTAACCTTTCCCTATGTGTATATCTAAGAACTATTTCTGCTGTAGCCTATCCCTCTGTGTATATTTAAAAGAACTATCCCTGCTGTAGTCTAGCCCCTCAGTGTAAGTTATTATAAAAAGAAGGCGCTAAGCTAAGAAGACTAGCTCATCCCTCTATGTAAATAAGAACTATTTCTGATGTAGCCTATCCCTCTGTATAATTCTAAAGTACTATCTTTGCTGTAGCTTATCTTTGGTACTCTTAAAAAATTATCTCTGCTGTAGCTTACTCTCTGTGTAACTCAACGTCTAACTGAAAATGCACAAGTTATAATGAGGACTGGCTTTTGGGATAACTGTATGAAGTGAGAGCAACCGTATGCTTATACGGATGTGAAGCGTAGAGTGACTGGACAAGGAGGATCACGAAATCTAGAGTTAATATTGCGTGACATCGCAGCGGCAGACGCAGCCAGAGCAACAGCAACTATAGAGGCAGCCGCCAGTAAAACGAGGAACAGAAGAGGCCCTTGACAAGGCCTCTACTCCACCATGTTATAAGTCGTCGTCGTCGAACAACTTGAAGAGGGACATGGGACACTGCGGATAGGCAGACCAACAGTCACCATAAGCTCGACCGTAGTACTCCGCGTTCACGTAGTCATACAACTCGCTCGACGTCGATCCATAGGAGGCGCTGAAAATGCAACCAACATACAAGTGATAAACATATGAATGCATACATAGTAATACAGTATTTATACCACACGTTTACTTTATCTTTTGGACATGCTTCATTCGATTTTTTGTTTACAGTTCCGAATTTTTCTTATTGTTTAATTGTATTCCGGTAATTATAGACATCACCAATGGCAATGGCTGAGGGTGAAGTCGATTGGGAGATTGAACCCGGGTCGTCTGATATATTATGTACGTTTCCAAGGAGCTCATTGTCTCCTGCTGGACAAGAATTTGTGTACACTATATTGCTTTCTTTTAGAGAAAGGGGTATATTTTTTCCCCATAATTAGGGTAGACACTATTTAAAACCAAGTACAGTGTTTCACACCGGTATAAGTAAAATGCTGAAGAGCATCGAGAAAGCAAAACATAACTTGAAAACAGATGTGCAACTTACGTGAGAATGATATTGAGGATCTCTCCCAAGAGGCCATCGTCTCTGAGTGGAGACTCGGCCACCTCACACACAGCTCTCAGGAGACACGACTTGCCGTCCACGCCGAACCTGCCACACCCAGGCAAGTGGTTTAATTTGATCTTCTGGGACTGAGTTGACAATAATCCAAAAATGAATATAGCTAGTACCACGTGTAGCGAAGAAGCCAACTGATTATTGACCAACTACACTACACCATTCCGCTGAAGGTTGAGCGGTACAAGAGCTGGATGCCATCCTCCACAAGAACAGCCAGCAAACAACACATATACATACAAAAGGAGCTATCCGATTTCTTTTCCTAGTAAGAAATTACCTGGAAAGGGTGTTAATGACAACAGCGTAGATACCAAGTCTGTCGTCGTCCATTCTACCGGCGAAGCTGACCTGGGTGGCGTTGGGTAGCTTGATAGTGAACGGCAGCTCGACGTCCAAGTACCCGACTGGGGGAGTGTGAATGGCAGTCAGAAAATGACAAACAATAACAGTATGACACACATGCACACCTGACATCCTTTGTATATTAGTTAATAAAGAAAACAAAAATCTTTGAAGTCTCCGGCTGACCATGACAATCAATGAGGTCTATTATCAGAACTTCCCAGGATGTTACCAAAACATCTCACAGCCCATCCTCCTGTTTAGATAGTACTTATAGTAACAAAGTGGATCATTGTGCATATATTGACGTAATGGATAATTAGAAAGTAAAATTTGGTACTACTGAATTTGGACCAACCGGAAAAATTTCAGTATCCATAGCCTAAAGTTCCATTTACATAATATCTCAGCATCCATAGCCTAACGTTTCATTTCTAGGACATCTCAGAAATCATAACCTAAAGTTCCATTACCAGAATATCTCAGAATTTATAACTTAAGGCTTTATTAACAAAACACCTGCGTCCATAGCCTAAAGTTGTATCACCAGAAAATCGCAGCATGCATATCATAAAAGTTAAATTTCCAGAATATCTCAGCATACATAACTTGAAGTTCCATCACTAGAATACCTCAGTATGCATAGCCTCAAGTCGTTTTATGAGACATCATGACATAATAAAACATAAAACACCTCTTTGTTATGCATTGAAGTTCTTAATGTTACGCTGTGTTGAGTCTGGTAGTTACTGATGTGAATTGGGCTTTATTCGACGTGATGTGTTACAAAAGATTAACTTTTATTGTATAAGGTTTCCATGACGACTATCCACGTGGAACAATTTATGCTGATAGTGACAACGGCATCAGTGACCGTGATGACTATGATGTTGGCGGCTTTAGTGATTATGATGATGATGATGATAATGATGGTGGCGATGATGATGACGTCGGTGGTAGTGACAGTAAACTTGAAAACAATAATACTAATTATAATTAACAAGTAAACAAATAGTGGAACTCGTTTGGCAACAGGGTAGCGTCCAAAACAAACGCCCATGAACAATTCATTTATCTCGTGCATGACTGCCAAATGACACTAAATTATATTTACAAAATTTCAGGATCTGTACTAATACACAGGTGAAGAAAATCCATCTCCTATCCACCTCTTCTCTGGCTCCAGATATCCTCCTTTGCTCCCTCTCCTATATTGTCTTCCCCTACGCCTATTCACTCCCTTCTTTAAAACTTAGTCTTCTTAGTGGGAGAGAAAATAACTGGGTTTATTTACCCCGGCTGCTTGTCGACTGGTCAGTGATTCGAGAGGCAAGCACTTATAAAGGATGTTGCAACATGTTCAACATTATTAACATCATCAAGCCTATTGTTGCAGTGATTGGTGAACTACGCATGAGATGTTAACGTATACACTGAGGAAGTAAGGTTTCTTACGCCAGGGCAGATTGTGGTGGTTTTGTTATGAATTTTAGGAGAGGAATAGAGTTTATGTATACATACCTTGCGATGAGTCCGAGGATCAACGTCCCTGGCCTCTTACCTATACCTCTTCCCTGCTTCGTCACCCTTACCCAACCTCCCTAAGTTAACAACCGACGGCCCATCAACGTTCCGCAACGAGCCTCTTCTCCCACATGAGCCAAGCAATATAAGACGCTGTGAGAATACTGTTCGGCGAGCCTATGTTTGAGATAGATTTAAGTGGCTGAACTGACAGGTTTTTTCCTCCGCTGTATGGGGTCGCGATGCGCACCCGTGGGTAGTCACTGACCTTTCACGGGTCTAGAGTCACAATACCGAGTGAGGTAGAAATAACTATCTCTCTCACTTGGCTGGAGTCCAGTTGGGTTGTGGCGATAAGCTGGTGGGATAGATATTCTCACACTCTGGCTTTTACATAAGATCTAATTTTAAGCAACACTTTGTTCCAAGTAAGGATCGAACTTGGCAAGGCCACAATTATACCCATTGCCCCAGTCCTTGTTAAGAAAACTGTGAAAATGACATGGAACCTTGGGCGTATAATGGCGTCGTCCACGTAATCAGTGACGTCACACCATTGATGCCAGCTTGATACATTACCTGTATTATATATTTTTGTAGAAAATATTCATATATTTACATTGTATATATATTTAAGTGTATCAACCGAGATATTTTTTACGTAATCTAATGAAGGAGGAGTGGGTTAAACACCCAGCTGGTAGGAAGAATGTCTATCAGACATACGATCCAAGGTCTGTGACTGGTCCCGTCGACCCCTCCAGCAGTAGGAGCGGAGACGTGACCCCGAGGAGTCTGTGTCTACCAGACTCCATTCTGTATTCCACCCTGGCAAACTTTGACGGACAATCCTGAGGACTCGCTGACCATATCGTAGTCTAGCCGGACCTCTATGAGGTGAGGTGAGTGATACATTAACATCGTAGACTCTCTTCTCGTACCTGGTGTGCGTGTAACACCACAGTACACACACACCTCTAACAATGGCGCAGTGATAAGGATTCGTCTAAGCGACGATATCTTGCCGCTGTTGACAGTGGAAGTGATCATTATATTTAGTATAACACGAGAGATAAGCGCAGTGCACGACCTACATAATGGGTTCCTCCTTTACTCTTACCATCTCGGGTCATTTCGGCAGCAGACCGACCACACAGCTCTGTTATTATGTGCGCCATGTATTTTGTCAGACCGGCAGAGATCCATAGGGCCTTGTGATTATGAGGAAGACATCATCACTTATTTTAGGAGCCGACGGATGTTGTGGTTGACTTAAGGGCGAGGATGTAGGAGCCGGCGGACATATTGAATTGTTGTTGTGACGTCATCTCAAAACATCAAGGCGTCGTGCGTATAAATACATTCCTGGTTACATTGTAAAGTCCTTGTAATTAACAATAATCTGTAATTAACAATGATCTCTCATCGTGTGCGCTTCAGTAGTTTTACCTCTACCAATTCTGACACGTTCAAGACAAGACGTTCTCTTCCTTGTCCATCTGGTGAGATTACAGCTCCTCCTAGAACCTTTATAGTGATTGTTGCTGCGATTTAATGGCCTTTTCATGTAAACACACTATCTACAATAAGATTAATCGCTAGTCGGCAGCAGAAAAAGTTTCAGCTGGGTTGTGTATTACAGAAAACGATATATTTACACGTATCTTGAGAAACATTCCATGGTCGATATTTGTGACTTGATGGTTAGGCAGTGGAGGCGAGTTGATATTAAAGATATTCTGGTTATAGCTTTGAAGAATCTGGTACAGAGGTGGCATGAACCTAATGAATTCATGAATATATATTGAGACCGTTTGATGAAATCGAACGTTCGGTCCTGAACTCAGTGCTACAGAAAGATTAATACATCTTCCACTCGTTCTGAAGATGTATTAATATACGAAAGTACTTAAGGAAATTCCTGTTTCTATTCTTCCTCCGTGGTCTGACACTGTCACATTTTTAATCACGTGTTTATTTTTCGTGATTTACACAAACACACACACACACACACACACACACACACACACACACACACACACACACACACACACACACACACACACACACACACACACACACACACACACACACATAATACAACAGTTAATATTACCACTTCTAGAGCAGCAACATTATTATCTCTCACACTTAGTGCTACAAATGACAGCCTGAAACGTACCGAGGTCGCCGACGTTGACGACAGGAATACAGAGGACAGGGGTGATGGTGAAGGTAGAACCCGTCGGGAAGGAGATTGTCCTCTTCTGCCGGGAATGGAGTTCATCAAGCTCTATGCGGGAGAAAGGTCGTGATTAGTGGTTGGTGGACGCTGTGAGGAGGAAATGGTGGTTGTGCACATTATGAGAGGAAAGGGGAGTGTGGTGTTGTACATTGTGACGGAGAGTAAAGATTGGTGTACCTTTTGAGGGAGGAGAGGTAGCGTTGATATACATTAGTGGCGTGGTTATCTTTGTAAACAATAGTCTCCACTTCCACACAATCAATAGTCCTCGTACTTCTTCTCAGGCAAGTATTAGTCCCCGCTTCCTCACGGACAAGACCAACCACTTGGGCTTGACGGTAGAGTGACAGTCTCGCTTCATGCAGATCGGCGTTCAATTCCAGACCGTCCAAGTGGTTGGGCATCATTCCTTTCCCCCGTCCCATCCCCAATCTTTATCCCTTCCAAGTACTATATAGTCGTGATGGCTTGGCGCTTTCCCCCTGAGAATTCCTACCTACCCTCCCTCACAGACAGGCAATAGTTCAGGTTTTCAAAGACAGGCAATTGAATGAGCCAAATTAAAACCACACACACAATTGAAGACCAAAGAGCAGAGGAGTAAGCACCCAACAGCAGAGGGACATGCTCACCCATGTTAGTGTCGAGTGACGTGCGAGCCTTGTTCTTCAGCTCCCTCTTAGTGCGGGCGCGGTATTCGAACCAGGTTTCGGTCATCTCTGCTGCGACCAATACCACCACGGCCACCATCACCACCCACCACACTCTTACCGCTCTCTTATCTATCCTTACCATTTTCCTGCAAGGGAAATTGTGGTGAGATTTATTATTATTATTATTATTATTATTATTATTAATAATAATAAATAATAATAATAATAATAATAATATTATTATGTTTGACAGAAGGAAATTCTCCGTGTGAAGTGAATGTAAATGAGGGGATGCTGGAGTGGATCCTAAACTGTATGGAATTCTGTATGATAGGCGTTTGTGAGTTGTTTAGTGTTGAACACCTCTTAGTGTGGAGGTGAGGCTTCTTTAGTGTATAGGTGAAGCGCAACTCTCCACATGCAGGAAAATTACTGTTTTTGAATGAAAAACACTTTATACACGATTCACAACTGATAGCATTCGAACTTTTCTCAAACAGTGCTTCGTTCACGTACTATGTTCGAATCACACTTCTCAAAATGTTTAACCCACTTTCAGCAAATACAAATAATTGCCAACAGAACCTAATCTAACCTTAGCTAAGCTATGGAACAAATTCTCATTTACGATAATATATGTAATAATTTGAATATGAATTACATTAAAATGTATTAATTAGTTTCGTCTGAGGACAATTTGGAATCATGTTTAAACGCTTGCTTAAAAGGCACTCGGCCAGTGTTTATGAAGATGGGCTGAACATTCTGGCCAGGGCTGCGATCTTCAACCATCCCTTTGATTACCGTCGGAATTGTACACAATTCACAGTTTAACCATTTTCAAGGTAGTTGGTGTATCACCATTTCACATGGAAAAGTTATTCTTCTGTATTCGAATGTTCTTTACGTACACATGTACGTTTGTGATATTAACCATTTGTATACGAGATGTTGATATTGTTTCAAGTATGCAATTACAACCTGTTGTCAAAATGGGCTCCATAATTTTGCCTATTTAGAATCATACAATCGAAATTGCTCTACTCGTGCAAAGTGAATATTATTATTATTAGTTCACCTGGGCTCTAGGAGACTCGAACCAGGGACCCCAGATGTGAGAGGCAGAAGCTCTATCTTTGTTGCAGGCGAATGAAATTATTTCCACGGAAGTGTGGATGACAATTTATCAGCGATAGTAATAATAGTATTAGTGGTAGTAGAAGTGTTTTAATAATATAAATTGTTGTTTATTTTGATGTGTATATTGGTATGTAGTAGTTACCCAATTTTTTTATTAGTAAAGGTATTGGAATATTTTATGTATTTTTTGAGGTATTGGAATATTGTATGTATTTTTTGAGGTATTGGAATATTTTATGTATTTTTTGCAGTTCACCGAGGTTATGCCACATACACTCACCCAGTTGTGCGTGTGGTGTCTTCAGAACATATTAGTTTTGTCTCAGAACACCATGACAAATATGAAAACGCAGCGATAAAAATATGATTGCTCGCTGACCTCCGTTTGATGCAGCAATGTTCGGTTATTCCCATTTCTCAGCATTGATAAATGTTTCCTAGTTCTAGGAATAACCGGTTATTCCAAGTTATTCCTAGCAATTTTGGAATATTCCGAGTTGTTAGCAATATTCGGTCATTCCGAGCTGTGGTTCCACGAGCAGGAAGGAACTTCCGCCTGCAGAAGGCTGTTATTATCCCGGGCGTAGCCTCGTGTGGGGCGGGCGGGCGCTCCGCCATGACGTCTGGGCTTGAGGCTTTCCGCGAACTTTAGGTTATTGAAGATGAACGCTTCATTCATAGTCATCAGTGTGGCTGAATAAATGAAGTTGTTAGGGAAGTTTTTGGTGCTTTGACAGAGAGAGAGAGAGAGAGAGAGAGAGAGAGAGAGAGAGAGAGAGAGAAGAGAGGGGGGGAGGGAGGGAGAGATCACTATTTGCTGAAGCGTCCATGTCACCATATATATATATATATATATATATATATATATATATATATATATATATATATATCTAACTGCAGCTCTATTATATAATTCGTGTCACTGTAGCCCTCTGTTATATGATTCGTGTCACAGCTACGCACCGTTTGATTGCTATCGTATCCATATATTATCTACTAATCAACAAGCATATAACTACCACTTTATACGTGTGCTAGAAGCCGCTCTAACTACCTCAAACGCTGCAGATCTGTTGTGTTCCTTGGCGTTAACAAGCAGTGACACATCACCGAGTTCATGCATTACTACAAGAACCAGCATGCAGGACACTCACCCGGCAGTTGCACATGGGGCTTCATTTGTTTGCTTCTATGCACTACAGACAACTCTCTTCAACACTCGACGCGTGCGCACTCCTCTGGCACTCCCTGTGGCACCCACCTGTTTAATAACTCTTACAATAGCTAAGGATACATTTGAGTGATCAGCACACAACCAGGAGGATTTTGTGGGGACGTGCATCATCTTCTTGTCTTATATACTCGCTCTCTTCTCATCTCCGCAAGCCCCTCCCTCTCTCTGCTACGCTGCCTCCGCCCACCCCAGTATTCCACAGCATCTGGAATGGGGTCCTGTAGGACTCTGGGAGTGGACCCCAGCATCTGGAATGGGGTCCTGTAGGACTTTAGGAGAGGACCCCAGCATCTTGGCTGGATTTTATGCCATATAGGACTCTCAGTCGACTTAAAGCATAACTTAGAAACATTTCTTTTTTTTGTTTTCCTTTAAGCTTGATGAGGTCTAATTATTCGTCCGTTTATCTAATTATTTGTCTAATATTTTCTAAGTTGAAAATTGTGTGAAATACCGTTATGAATATTTCACAGGTTTTTCTTCAACACAAGATCAAGCCGTTACCTGAAATTCTGCATGTTTTAATTATAATTGCTAATTTAAAAGATATTACAGGTTTGTGTGTATTTACAGTGTGTGTGTGTGTGTGTGTGTACCTAATTGTGCTTGCGGGGGTTGAGCTCTGGCTCTTTGGTCATTTGTGTGTGTGTGTGCCCTAATTTTCAGGTAAATATATGCCCTTTTAGAGTGAGTCAAGAAGCACATACAGTATTCAGGTGACCGTCAATATGTCTGGGGACTAGTGGAAGCCTCAGCCATCCTTGTCTTTACTTCCGCCGTCATTATATTTCATCGTGATGTGGCTTGATATTTGTACCTCTTTCATCCTTCACTTTCTCTCTCTCCATAACCCGTTTATCTCTCTGTTTAGGCCTCTCCCGTCCGCTCACGTAACTATCCTTTCATTGTCCTCGTCAGCTTCCCCGTTCTCAATTGTTACTCTTCTTTCCACGGATTTTCCACCTATCCTCGGTCATGGAAGCTCAGTCTATATAATGTTATTACTCCCCTTCGGAGCTCATATAAGTCCTGGAGAACAGACTTCAGGCTCCTGCACCGCTCCTTTGCCAGGTAAGTCCACTACGGGCTCACCATAGCCCGTGCTACTTGCCCCCGCTCCTGTGCCAGGTAAGTTATGGGCTCACCATAGCCCGTGCTACTTGGAACTTTTCCGAGTAGCTGAATCTATAACAACAACAACAACCTTCGGAGCTCATCAACTTTTCATTAAATGTAAACAAAGCCGCCATGATTGAAGAAAGAGGTACAGGTTTCGTAAGTGGATGCTTAAAAGCATGTTGAATCCTAGCCCTGGACGTCCCAGGCACACACACACCACCGACCGAACTATGATGTGCTAACGTTTTTGTAATTTAATTGGGTATAGATCTAAAGTATTACAATGTGTAAGACGATACAGCTATTATCGTGGCGCAGTAGCTTTAAATTACAACGTTCGCGCATTAGATCATCGTAGGAGACAGCGATGGTCACACCGCCAGCAGACATGACTGTGGTTACCCCGGCAATCATCAACGTTAAACATTGGTTATGCTCTCTTTTGTGACGATGTTGATGTTTCCTGACACCGTCGCTCTGGCCACACTCTTTGGTGGAGGACGCAAACACTGTCTGTTCTGTCAGACTGAAATTATGGGGGTTTATTGAGCCATAAAGGGTACATGGAGGGTTGTTAACCAGGTCCAAGACTGTGCACACAAGAAGTCTAAGACTGTGCACACAAGAAGTCCAAGACTGTGCACACAAGAAGTCTAAGACTGTGCACACAAGAAGTCTAAGACTGTGCACACAATAAGTCTAAGACTGTGCACACAATAAGTCCAAGACTGTGCACACAAGAAGTCCAAGACTGTGCACACAAGAAGTCCAAGACTGTGCACAATAAGTCCAAGACTGTGCACACAAGAAGTCCAAGACTGTGCACACATAAGGTCTGACATGCTAATCTTGTTAAGTTACCAGGTGGATAGCTCAGACCATATCCCTATTATTATATCGCTCGCTTTGCTATTATATCGTTACAGACGATAAATTACCCACATTATAGGCAAGGAGGTGAAAAATATAATTGGATGATTATAGTCCTCAACGGAGTGGTGAGACCCAGATGATTCCCACCTGTTTGGTGTGTCGGGACCAGCTCGTCCTCCTAACGTTCCCCAAACGTCAAGAAACTGTGGTACTAAAGTGCCCCCTTAATCTACCAGAGGACCCAAAACAGAAAACGGAACAGTATATAAATTTCGCGAGCCGCTACTATTTTCTAGTACGACGATTTTTTTTGGTCTTAGGTAGAGAGTACGTCAAAATGCGACGTTGTATTAGAAGGACGGGTTGGAGGCGTTGTATAGGTATACACTTTTGAATGGATGTATGTTCAGTTTGTTATGTTCAGGAATATTGGGTTGGAAACACGGTTGTCTATTTATGGAGCAAATTACCGGGTAACATAATAGACGAAGGAAAATGGGACATACGTATTATAACAAAACTGGCATTGAGAAAATTCGCCCCAAAAATAATTTATTCGACGAAAATTTTTTTTTTTGGGTGGGGGGGGTTGTTAATATTGTCAAGACCTTGAAACTTTTTGATGTACATGTGATATTTAATTATGAAAATATTAATGGAATATTATTAGAATACATTCTATGTTCGTTAAATTGTAATACATTTTACATAGGTCAAACATCTAAAAATTTGGAGTTTCGAATTTTGCAGCATAAATGATTTTGTAAGAAGTGGTTAATTATTCTAATGTTTTGTTCATATATTGTTGATTATTGAAATTAGGTTATTTCATAATATCTTTCTCTGGAATTCGATCCGCCACTCGTCATAGGTCCTCAATTACCATTCTCTCTGGCTCTGTCTGTCTGTCTGTCTGTCTGTCTGTCTGTCTGTCTGTCTGTCTGTCTGTCTGTCTGTCTGTCTGTCTCTCTCTCTCTCTCTCTCTCTCTCTCTCTCTCTCTCTCTCTCTCTCTCTCTCTCTCTCTCTCTCTCTCTCTCTCTCTCTCTCTCTCTCTCTCTCTCTCTCTTTAACTTTTTTCGAGGGGAAAGTAGGCTGCCGAACTTCATCTGTTCTTCTACCGGTGCGTTTTAGTTAACTTTTGCTAGAGGGCTTGATAATTCATCTCTCCGTCGCCTTGCTGTATGGAGATGCTGCATCTTGATCTAAAAACTGCCTCCGTTATTTCCTTCCAATGAACATGGGTTGTTGTATGTGTGTCACGTGGGCAGGTCTGTGTGTCCGAGTGGCGTGAATCGACTCGAACAAAAATACTAAGACCTCGAACCTCATTCACATTCCGTCTGACCACCATGAGTACTGTGTTTATGTGTTAAAAAACATCATGTTGAGAGTAGAGTTTATTGGGGATGCGTTATGCTCGTGAAGGCTTTGATTATCCCTTAAATAGTCTTGTTAAATCATAACACGGTCTTGATAAACCCTTACAGTACATAGTCTTGAGGAACGCTTTCAATACAATATAATATAATACAGTACACTGTATTGATGAACCCTCAGAATACTGATAACAATATTTGTCTCGTTTTCTGGAGCTTCTGGCTTTCATCACTAAAATGCCACTGTACCTGATTATAAGACCTATGCTACCTGACTATATAGGTGAAACTTTACCTCCCGTGAAGTTTGCTCTCAGCGTGTTATCGGAAGTTTCTACTCGGTTCAGCCTGGAGTCTTTGTATCCCGCTGTTAATGAACCGAAAACTACCGTTTGGCTGCCGTATTCTCACTGGAATCATGTCAGTGATAACCAGTTTAGCCCACAATTACCCTACATCCGCTTGTCTGTGTCATATCTATGTCGTCTTCTATATGGTAGGTGATGTTTGTGTGAAGTTTTTTTTATCTATGTCAACGACAGCGCGAACGTCAAGTCACCCGCTAAATATAACAAGCTCATCTTCCTCAAGATGCAGACCGCGTCTCTCATCCCTGCGGCAACACTAGTTTTCGTGAAGGCAATATGGCCATACCAATATCGCCAAGCCTTCACTAGTAGATAGCACTTGCAAGGGATCAGGATAAGGATTTGGGATGGGAAGACTTTCGCAATCTTTGGAGCGAAAGTCTGTTTCAGAGATTGCATTCAGAATTCTGAATTTAACGTCTCCTCAAGCTTTGTTCGTCCAAGCTTAAAAATTATAGTGTACTGTATAATAAAAAACGCCTTCAGGCTGTCGGTCACCCAAAAACGTATACATAAGATTTAGCTTATTATGCATTCAAAATAGGATTTTTTTTAAATATAAATAGATTTACGGTCTTCCGGTTTTCGAGTCCAATTGGACCCGCAACTCCTAAGGTCACCCCCTGTGGTACTTTTCTGTTAAAGTA